TGTCAATCAAAGGAGAAAAATCTGAAGTAAGTGGACCTCCTCAGTTATGCAGTTATAAGGTTGGGACAGGGAAGGGCAAGGCTTCCAAAAATGTGGAATAATGTGTGGGAGTGGGAAGAGCATTGTCCCAGAACCTTGGGTATTGTGACAGTTTGTTCTGTGGTCTTGTCTGGGGTGGCACCAATAAAGATTGTGTGTGTGTGTGTGTGTGTGTGTGTGTGTGGTGAGGGAAGGTTTGTTAGGAAGCACTTCTGAAAAACATAGGGCAGCCAATGGTATAATCACCTTACAGTAAGGCCAAATTGCCTAACTAACAACTGAACAAGAAAGCTGTTCAAGAAGAGGAAATTAGGGAAAGTTTCAGAAAACAACATTTAATGAAGTTACTTTATGCCCAGCACTTATCCAATTTCAGTCATCATGTCAGATTACAGCTAATTAAACCAAACAAAACAAAACCACAGGAGTCATGGTTTATTTACAGTAACAACCAATCCATTTACCGTAACATCTCACAGGGTGTAAATGCAATTCTGTATTTTAAATTTGTCATGGCGCCTCATCAGCCAGGTGGAGCTGTTTGGTTCTGTCAAGAACATCTCACACTTCATAACTGAATATTTCTTTATTCTAGTAGATGCAAGACTGGGCTAACCAGCCTGTATCAGGGCTACCTCTGATCAGGGCTGCCAACTCTTACGGGCCAAGCTCTTTTGCCTCCCCTCCCTCAATATTTTTTTTGGGGGGGGAGAGGCCACCCTCCAGTGTTCCAAAAAATTGAGGAGGGGGGGAGAAAGCCAAGCATGGAGCTGAGTGTGCAGCAGCTTCAGTGACCAGCTCCCTCTGCTCCACCCCCTCGCTGTGGCTCCACAGGGCAGCCTCAGGCACTGCCACCTGGAGGATGGAGTGGGAAGGATGTCAACAGTGGTACGACTCCCAGATAGGGACACATGTGCCACCTTGCCCCCCCTCGTTACTGAAGGGGTACAGGGGCCACATGACGTCAATGTACCATGCATGCATGCCCTACAGTATGCGCATACAGCTGTCACAGAAGTTGGGGGGCCGGCACTCTGATTTGGATTTGGGGGGGGGTTGGCCCCCACTGTCAGTATGCCTTTGAGCCAATGCCAACGACTGGGCTCAACTTCTTCTGCCCCGACTGGGCCAGCGAACTGGAGAGCACTTCCAGAGACCTTCCACTCCTGGAAAGCAGGTCTAAGTGCACTGGACCCACAACTGTCCATTGTGAGCACCAAACTCAGCAGAGTATGAATAACACGGAAGAAAGCTCTGAAGCATAACTCCTTTATTGTCTAACAGCTACTGCAAACTAAAAACTCAAAGAGGCTACTGGACTGCATGAGTGTTACTGTTAAGTTGTGGGTGAACATATTAGATGACACAGCGATTCTTCAGACAGCTCTTGTTTATTCACAGGCCAGAACAGAACTGGACTGAAGGGTTCAGCCAACCTGCTTATATAGAGCTCAACTACAAAGCAACAGTAACAACTTTCTGTAACTATCCAATCACTGAACGTCACTTTAAATTCCTTATTTGCATATGCGGACCTGAGTGAAAACTTTCTACAGTATCCCCCTGCTGGCCCAGGGTGAGAACTTAAGTACATAACAGTTACAATTCTCACTCAGCCATCTAATCACTTACAGAGATAACACTCAGACTCCAACAGAGTCAGGCAGGAGCGGAAGAAGCGAAAAGCAGTTTCCACCCCCTCCTTTCTGAAAACATTGTCAGGAGATTCTTGCAATGGGAGGGGGTGAAAATATCCACACCCACGGCCCCCCATATTTGGCGCCTGTGGTCTTGGGGGGGGGGAGAGAAGCAACACAGCTAAGGATTCCTGCCCCCCCCTTGCTACTGCTGTTTGTTATTGTCAACACTCTCTTCTGCTGCGGTGCATGCTGGGTAATGCAAGCTGGAGGACCTGGAGCAGGAGGGGGAGGAACCACAGAGATGAGACAGTGACTCAAGGGATAGAGTGGCACCAAAACTGCCTCCTTGGTTAAGAAGAGGAGACACATAAAGTCTCCCCCTCTCAAATGCTGGAGAGGTCGGTTATGGAGAAGAAAATTTTCACCACTTCCCTCTCCCCCCCCCAAAAAAAAAGGAAATGGAAGGGGAAATTTACCAGAAGTTGTTAATGGGAAGAAACAGTGTCAAGATACCTATATTTCTTGTATCTCCGTTTATTTTATTTAAAATGTTCAGATTTTACAATGTTCAAAGCAACTCTCCCACACATAGGAGCCAACTCCTAGAGGCTGAGGTCCCTTTGGCCCTCCCGCGGTGGCAGCAGCTGCAGAGGAGGCCTGGTATCTGCTCTCAGTCTCCTCTTTTCCAGGCTAAACATACCCAACTTCATCAATTATTCCTCATATGGCTTGGTTTCTAGACCCTGATAATCTTGATCACTTTCCTCTGCACACGTTTCAGCTTGTCAATACAGTGGTACCTCAGGTTAAGTACTTAATTTGTCCTGGAGGTCCGTTCTTAACCTGAAACTGTTCTTAACCTGAAGCACCACTTTAGCTAATGGGGCCTCCTGCTGCCGCTGCGCCACCGGAGCACGATTTCTGTTCTCATCCTGAAGCAAAGTTCTTAACCTGAAGCACTATTTCTGGGTTAGTGGAGTCTGTAACCTGAAGCGTATGTAACCTGAAGCGTATGTAACCTGAGGTACCACTGTATCCTTCTTAAATTGTGGCACCCAAAATTGGATACAGTCTGGCATGGTCTGACCAAGGCAGAATAGAGTGGTACTATTACTACTTTTGATCGCGATACTATACTTCTGTCGAGTAACACTAGCTTTTTCTGCTGCTGCATCACACTGTTGACTCATGTTAAGTTTGTAGTCTACTAAGACTTCTAGATTCTTTTCACACGTACTATTGGCAAGACCGGTACAACTGGTTCTTTCTATATGAATGCAGAACCTTAGATTTGCCCCATTTAAATTCATTTTATTAGTTTCGGCCCAGTTCTCCAACCTGTCATCTTGAATCCCGATTCTGTCTTCTGCAGCATTAGCAACCCTCCCAGTAGGTGCCACCTGCAAATTTGAACAACAATGAGCCTAGGACAGAACCTTATGGCCCTCCACTTGTCACTCTTTTCCAAGATGGCGAGGAACAATTAGTGAGCACTCTTTGGGTTCGGTCAGTAAACCAGCCCACATTATACCAGCTTCTCCACTGAGATCTGCTGAGCAGATCAAGTAAGTAAAGGGAGACAGGACTACCACCACTTCAGATGAAGAGGAGCATTTGCTGCTAATTAGTTTCTCAAAACATCTCCCACTCAGTTCTAAAAAGCAAGTTGTGAGTTGTTAACTGGAAGATGTCATTTTACCATTTCGAAAGCTCTTTTTCAAAAAGTGCAAAGGGAAGGTGAACCAATGTCCCAAGTGAAACTGTGGAAGTTTGGCTACAGGCCTGAATGGATAAGTGGGAGGGTGCTTTGTGACTGGAAATCAATGAAGAATAACTGGCAGAATTACTTCCTGCGCTCATTAGATCAATCTGCATAAATGCTGTCTTGGCCATGTGATTCAGGGCCCTCCCTGCTACGAGACTTGTATAAATGATGGAGAAAGTTGTGACATTCATGGAGAGAACAGCTCTAGATGAAAGCATTGGCATACACCACCAAGCCTTGTGGAACTTCCCTGCTGGGAGCAACTGTGATCTGAAGTGGGAGAAGTGCTGCTGAACAAAGTCAGGTACCTCTTTCAAGGGAACTATACCTGCTTGACCATGTATGCTGCTTTCTCTCTTCTCCTCCTGGCAGCCTGCCTGCCCTCTGGATGGATGCAGACAGCCCTGGATGACTACGTCAAGGAGTATGACCCTCACTACAACTACACTGTCACAAAGAAGGAAGACAGGCCTGATGTGAGCATCTATACCCTCAACATGACCTCCTTGAAGTGGCTGAATGGTGAGAGCAGCAGTTTTGAAATACAGAGGAAGACATTTCCACAGGGAGCCTAATCCGGGAAGGTGGCTGCTGGGTGGGTGTGATCTGTACTGTGGGATGTAAGGATGTTGCAGACTAGCAATATTTAGCAGCTAAGAAGCTAAAACATATGTAAGACTGACTCCCATATAGTCATATCTCATGTTGCGTCTGCTTCAGGTTATGTGTTTTCATGTTGCGTCCCGCAGCAACCCGGAAGTACTGGAATGGGTTACACCGGGTTTCGCCACTCGTGCATGCACAGAAGTGCTAAATCGCGCTTTGCACATGAGCAGAAGCACTAAATTGTGCCACGCATGTACGCAGAGACGGCGCTTTGGCTTGCGTCAGTTCAATGTTACCGACGGGTCTCCAGAACAGATCCCATCCATAACACAGGGTTCTACTGTAAAGTATGGTCAATACATTCCTTAAATATTCAAAAGCTTTTACCTGAAGAACAGAGGATAAAAGAATGCACACACACATTCACAAAACATATGCTTATCCAAGCACAGTCTCAGCTTCACTTAGAAAAATGCAGCTTCTTGCTTTAAATCAAATCCTGTATCTTTCGCACTTCCAGTTTTGTAATCAGCCTGTACTTTGCCATACTGGGCCATGCCAGTTTCTCATTCAGTCTTGCAATCTGTTCTTCCATTCAGAGAGCCCATTTACTGCTGCACTGCTTTCCGTTGAGACTTCTATGTCTTCTTCATTCAGAGAGGGAAAAAAACATTAACACTGTCCTCCTCACCGCTTACTAACATAGCCTACTTCTTGAGCCATGTCATCACAGTGAACTCACTCACACATGTAAGATGGAATGATGATACCAAACACTATCTTACACTCTGTTTCCATTTTGTTACTTTTCTACTACTACGTAGATAAATAAATATAAATAAATAAATAAATACGCCTCCTGGGTGGAAAATGTATTTCAAAGGGGAAATGGAGGCCAAATCCCCCAATGAATAGATTCTGTGTATCTCTTTTCAGAGTCTGAATTGTCTAACCCAATTTGGTGGCATGAGCTGATCATCGTTGTGTCAAAGGAACGAAAAATGAATAACTCGTGTTTCCTGATGCTTGGGATAGGAAGAAATGATGACCTGTCTAGTAAACGAGATTTGAGTGTTGATGACCTTGTCAATATAGCAAAATCATCTGGGTCGTAAGTAATTGGAGGGACCTCTGAGCAATGAATATGGCACCATCTCTGCTGTGCTCTGTTAAGACTGTTAAGGGAATTAGCAACCCTACAAGGATAGAGAACTGCAAGGCAGAAAATACTTGGAGAAAATACTTTTCCTGGTGGGGAATGAGGCTTGTACATCAAACTTGGACAACCCTCCAGCTGAGGAGGAATACCTCAGAATGATTTGGGGCTTCTCTGAAGCAAAGCAGGATTTCTTTGAGGCAGCTATATAGTGGTTCCCAAATTATTGGTATAGGAACTCAAGAGTGGCTGATGAGAGTGGTGTAGTCTGAGCTGGAGCAACCAGCTTACACCTCTTCACACATTGAGGTTCTCAGGTAGACTGGGGGAGAACAAAGCCTTGAATACCTAGTTCCTCCGATGGTGAGTGGAAGTGGCAGAACAGTTTGCTCTGTGGTATTGACCCCTTCATACATTAATCAGACTTAAATATATTGGTTATCCCACATACATTAATAAATTCTGTATTTTGCAACCTGTGAGTGTTTTTGCAGGAGGAAAAAAAAAGTTATAGCTAATAAAACAGCCAGAAACAAAAATGGACTGAAGATAATTAATCCAGCTCACTGTATTCAAGACAGTTTCTCTATGTTCCAAAGACATATCCTAGTTCATCTTTTCCCCAGCCCCTAATAAATACGTATAAATTAAAACAAGATCGGATATATTGCCTGAATTCTGTCTTTGCCTTGATTTTAGTGTTAAAATCATAGTCATGATTGTTCCAAAGCTACCCAGAGCTATTAACTCTGGTCTCTTTGGCATCATTGCCTGTTGATCCCACACGGCATTTACTGCTGTTGACTAATATTTTGTTTTGTCTCTGAAGCTGTGCGGCACTTTTGGGGCAGATTGGAAACCAGCCAATCACCTACAAGGTACGTGCTCTAGGATCTTAGCCATGCTGGGAACTTCCCACACTGACTTTCAAACTCATGTAGGAGTCAGGAGTCAGTTGGTTGGGTGGAAATGGGGAAACAGGTGTGGCTGTCACATTTTCCCATTGGAAACTTCTACTACAGATTTTCTTTCCCCAATTTCACTCTGAGGGAAGTCTCAGAGCAAAATCGAGCAGAAATATGCAGTGTGTCCAAAAACCTATCTTTATAAGCTAATTATATTTCATAATATGTGAAGACTTAACCATCTCTTTCATAGATGTCGTTCAAAATACTAGAATTAAAATGTGGGACTCACCTCCTTAGTCATGTGGGGCTCACCTCCTTAGAGAAGGTGAAGGTGAGAGCAGCAGGAGCATGTTCCCCAGATACATACTGGAGCCATGGATTCCCACTGCATTCCCAGTGGGTTGTACATGGGGCAACTGTGCCTCCTTATCACTAGGAGTTTAACAATCCTGGCCTGTGGATGGCAGAGCCTTGTTGGACGAGGAGGAGAGCTGGTAGCCACCCACCCAAGAGCCCTCCAGGGAGGGCTCTGCAGATGATGCCTTAGGGGCCAGAGACTGGTGGTGGGACACCAAGAAGCAATCAGCAGAAGGGATGAGCTGGGAGCTGAAAGAAGCAGGAGACTTGAGCAATCAAAGGGGAGGGGTCAGGAGAAGGAGGGCATTCCAGGACATGATTAGAGGCTGAGAGTCACAGTGTGCATGCACAGTCCCAGTCCTGTTGATTCTTCTCCCCCGCCCGCTGGAGAAGTGTCATGCACATTGCTGAGCAATGGGCCAGACAGGCCCAGAGGAGGAGCTTATCCCTTCAACACCACCTTTATCTGCTTGGGTGGGGTCCAGAGTAAAAGGCCAGCGGGGGAAGGGCATGCCTAGAGCTTTGTTTCAACACCTCCACTGAGCTAAGATGAACCAGGAACATTGCTGTGTCGTCATTTTCTGCTAATAAAAAGCTGATTGCCTTCCATGTCTGTGTCTGCCCTGTGAATGACCTGGGTTGTTGATAGCCACTTGACACTGCCTTACCAGGACCTCTGTTCCTAAAGGTTGTGTTTGGTGCCTCTTCAATTCGCAGTCATGGTTACTGAGGACTGTTTAGCCCAAATATATGTGTAAATGAAAGAAATGCAGGATTTTTTGTGGGGGTAGGGGAGATATCGTCTGTTGGACAGGTTTGGCAACATTAAACAGAACAACCCATCCATCAACCAACAGAACTGAACTTACATTGTCCAAGTGATAGCTAATTCCCTTCCTATTTCACCTGGTGCCCCTCTCTGTGAACTAAGTCAGACCTCTCAGGCTGTTCTAGGGGTCCAGATGGGATGCCTCAACCAAAAACATACTCATCTTTCTCTTATTTTGCTTCTAGACAATCCCTTTGCAAATGTGCAAGAACAGCATTGAAAATGCTGCACTTGTTTGTTCGTGGTGGAAGTTCATGAACGACGAGAGTGAGCCGCCACATGTGCTGATTCAGTTTCCAATGGTGAAGGTAACTCTGGCTCTCTGTATTGGCTGGCAGGCACATGCTGCCATCCTTCTGGGAAATGTTCTTTAACTCTGGCAGAGTTACTGTAACATTTGCAGAGCACATATCTTTCACTTTTTAAAACCAGCTTGCGCATCACAGAATCCAGCAGAGGTGGTCCACCCATGAAGCGAGGTGAGATGGCGGCCTCAGGCCACAGGTTTGGACGCAAAGACTATGCCATTGGTGTCTCTGGCGTGGCCGTGCCTTCTCCTCTGCAGATGCACCTCACCTCCTGTGCTCCAGGTGCACTGCTCCCACATGCCCATGCCCTCTGCAGTGGTGGTGGTTGTGTGTGTGTGTGTGTGTGTGTGTGTGTGTCCACTTGCCCATGCAGGGGTGCACTTGTGGTGGTTGCCTAGAGGAGGCATGGCAGAGGATGTATGGGCCCATGGAGGAGAATGTTAGAGCAGGGGCATGGTGGCATTTGAATGTATTTGGATTAAGGATACCCCCTTGAGGTTTTCACCTTTACAGAATGGCTAAGTAAATTCTAGTTATCTTTTAAGGTAAAGGGACCCCTGACCATTAGGTCCAGTCGTGACCGACTCTGGGGTTGCGGCGCTCATCTTGCTTTATTGGCTGAGGGAGCCGGCGTACAGCTTCCGGGTCACATGGCCAGCATGACTAAGCCGCTTCTGGCGAACCAGAGCAGCGCACAGAAACACCATTTACCTTCCTGCCAGAGCAGTACCTCTTTATCTACTTGCACTTTGACATGCTTTCAAACTGCTAGGTTGGCAGGAGCAGGGACCGAGCAACGGGAGCTCACCCCGTGGCGGGGATTCAAACCGCCGACCTTCTGATCGGCAAGTCCTAGGCTCTGTGGTTTAACCCACAGCACCACCCGCGTCCCTCAGTTATCTTTTGGGAGCAGGTAAATTAGTTGTTTTCTGCTGCTACAATCTCCCATTGAGATTTTGGAACAAGAGGTCTGCAGGCTGGCAACACAAGAATGAGCCTTTTTTGCAGTGGCTCCTCGTTTGTGGAATTCTCTCCCCAGAGAGACTTGCCTGGCGCCTTCACTACAGGTGCCAGGCAAAAGCTTTCCTCTATAACCAGGCCTTTGGCCTTAAACTATCCCGGGCCTTTGAGAAGTGGGTGGGATGTTTTTAATGTATTTCTCTTTCCTCTTGTATCTATGTGGGGTTTATTGTCTGTTTGCCTTTAAGTCGTTTTGCGTTGCTCTGGGCAAGATAAAGCAGCGAACAAATTTAATAAATAATCATAATGAATATTAAAGTCATGAAGATGAAACACCTTTTGAGGGCACTTAAATTATGCCATGTTGATAGAATGATATAGTCAAACCCAATGCAAGCATCTCCTTCAAATTCATACATATATAAAATATACATACATACATACATACATATACATCAAATCTACAAAAAATAGAGAAAGGAAAATAAGAGGGAAAGAAAAAGCATACCAACAATAAAAAAGTAGAAAAAGACAAAGAAAAAAGCCTGAAAAGGCATCTCCTTCAAATTCTAGAGAGTATAATCCACTTCTCTTGTGTGCAGGCAGCTGTGCGTGGCATGGACACCGTAGCAGATTTTCTGCTGAAAGAATCCGGTGGAATGATGAATATCACAAAGTTCACAGTGGCTGGTCTTTCCAAGGTAGGTATGAACTGCAGGTCTGTGCTGTATTGGATTTCCGGCACACCAGAATTAGCCCTATGCATGCTCATCCCCATTTCCCCTGTACATGCCATGTTTGGGCTCTCCAGTGGGAACTGAATACCTCTGCATCTTTTTGCTTTATGTCTTTATTGCAGCGTGGCTGGGCCACCTGGCTGGTAGCAGCTGTGGACAAGAGAGTTGAGTCATTTATTCCAATTATCTATGATCTTTTGAATATTGTTAAGGTGAGTATCTGTTCAAAGGATGGTGTACTAGCTGTGTGTACTTAGTCTTGAGTCTTCTTCATAGTTCCTTCATAGTATTCTGGACAAATAAGAATATGTTGGCCATTTGCAGGCAGGCCACAAGTGTGAGAGCCAGTGAAACTTCTGAGGAAGGGCACTCCACAGCCTCAGCACCACTGCTGCAAAGACCTTGTCCTGTGTCCTAATCAGCCATGCTTTTGAAGGCAAGGGACAGTGAGGAATCCCTCCAATGATTGTAAGGGGGAGGGGGACAAATTTGTGGAGGGAAAATGGTCCTTCAAATATCCTGGCCCCAAATATTGGTTGGTTAACAGCTGTTTGGTTATGAGGCTGGGGAGGGACAAAGTGTAGAATATTTAAAATGCAGTCAAATCAATAATTAATGTTTTGCTAGACATGCTGAAATTCACAGAATTTTCCTGTAAACTTACCAGAAAGAACTCTGTGAGAGATACCCCCACTGTGCCCTGACATGGGAAGGGCATAGTTATATATTCTCCGACCTGCCTGGGCACACCCTCCTCTCCATTTCTTTCCATTCTGCCAGCAATGTGAAAACATCTGTTTAGTCTGAGCTCCAAGATCAGACTACATTTTAAGCTAGACATTAAGTATGTCTTAGTAACTGAATTACCATTTTAAGCCTGCCTGAACAAAGCTGCTGTATCTGATACTCTTCAACAAGTATTCTGAGTGAATGTTATTTTTACATTTTACAATACTGTTTATGTGATTGTTGTCTTAAGGGGGACAAAAGGGGGAAATAGGAGGAACATCTAGTCTGCCTTAACACATTCTGGATTACTTAAACTAAAAGGCTAAAACTAGCCTATCTAAGCTTCCCCTCAAGCTGCAAAGCTGAACTCACAAATGTGATGTTGAAACCTAAGTAAATAACCAAAAAAGCCATAGGTACTGACTGTTGGCAGTATGATAGGGATAACTTATTGGCATGTTTTGTTTTGTGTTTATCATCTTAGTCAGAAGTGTACCTAGGGGTAGGTGAAACCAAACCAAATAACCTATCAGGTGTTGGAGTCCTCCCACAACACCTGGAACGCCCTACACCTGGAGCGGCATCCAGGCAGAGAGCAGTGCAGGTGCCCTGTCTAGTCCTAAGAAGGCACCTTCCTCCTATCCAGGCAACCTCGCCTGCTTCTGAGATTTTTTTGGGGGGGAGGCACCAATATAGCTCCTTGACAAGGGCACAAGGGACCCTAGGTATGCCTCTGAGCCTAGCCCTGCTATAAAGAGTTGAATAAATCTTGTCCTCCATACTATAGAACTTCAGGTTCTTAATATATGACACTTGCTATGTGCACATAGAAATCATTTGTGACTTCTTTGCTACAGAACTGGCATCATGAATACCGATCATACTGTGGCTGGGGCTTTGCATTGTATCATTTCTATGTCATGAATCTAACTCGGCAGTTGGACACCCCACGGTTCCAGGAATTAACTTCACATGTTGATCCGTTTGGTGAGCAATTCCTACCATCTCAGATTTCTCTGGTGAATCAGATGGTAGCAGAAGAAAGGATTGGATAAGTGGGAAAGGGCATCCCCAGGGAATTTTGGTGGCACTATAATGCATGTGGGTGGCGCTGTGGGTTAAACCACAGAGCCTAGGGCTTGCTGATCAGAAGGTCGGCGGTTCCAATCCCCGCGACGGGGTGAGCTCCCGTTGCTCTGTCCCTGCTCCTGCCAACCTAGCAGTTCGAAAGCACGTCAAAGTGCAAGTAGATAAATAGGTACCGCTCCGGCGGGAAGGTAAACAGCGTTTCCATGCGCTGCTCTGGTTCGCCAGAAGTGGCTTAGTCATGCTGGCCACATGACCCGGAAACTGTACGCCGGCTCCCTCGGCCAATAAAGCGAGATGAGCGCCGCAACCCCAGAGTCGGTCACGACTGGACCTAATGGTCAGGGGTCCCTTTACCTTTACCTTATAATGCATGTAAGATACATTGAAGAGCATGGCATCCATTTAATTAAAGGGCCATTTGGTGTTCCTCTGGAGTGAGGATTAGGGGGTTGTTGAATAGTGATTGTTGTTTCTTGTAAAAATATGTGAAAACGTTGAAATATTTGCAGAGGGAGAACACTGAAAATATGTCGGCGTGCAGTGGGATAAGAAATGGGTCAACCAGATCAAGTCCTCTCCCCTTTTCCACTTTCCTTTTGGAAACCTTCCCTCAATCCTGTAAACTAGGACCTTCCTCATCTGAGGCATAGCAGCAAGCTGTAAAATCCTGGCTGAAGACTATGAGTTTGTGACATAGGAGCCAACTCCTAGGGGCCATGGGCCCCCACAATAAAATAATATGGGCTTAGTTTGCCACAATAAGGCTTTTAAACATGTTTTCCAGTTCTATTTTTGTTCCCACCTGTCCAAAGAATGTTTACAGCTCTTTAGGGATTTGTGATCTTTACTCCATTTCTCTTGTTTTCCAATCTTACCAGCCTTTGATGATGTAAATAAGCAGAGCAGCAACTTGAGAACTGCATGTGTTGCCCATTAAACTAACATTAAATTTTCCATCCTCAGAATATAAAGAACGATACCAAAATAGGACCCTGCTCATGATCTTATCAACAGGAGATGACTTCTTCCTGCCTGATGACTCGTACTATTTCTTTGATGAGCTACCAGGAAAGAAATATATCCGGTGAGTTCATGCTGCAAAAGATTACCAGACTGTCCTTTTCGAGGCAATGAGATCATTCCTCTGGTTACAGGCAATGACCAGATGGCTTGAGCCCCAGATGAGAGACAATACTGAGAAAGCACAGCAGATCATCAGCTGTTGTGTGAACCCACTTGTGTAATATGAACAATAGTACCAGTGAAGAAAGCTGCAGATCTTTGCTGCACAATTCACATAGGCTTTGAATGATGATGCAATGATTTTTTCTTTGTATATTTATATGTGTGCATTCTTTCCAAGGAGGAAAAACTCTGAAAAGTCAAATTTCTGTTATTAGAAGAAACATGTCATTGCTTTACCTTAGACTATTGCAAGGAAGGTATTTTTGTAAAAACCTCTCTGTTGCACTGCAGATTCATCCCGAACACTAATCACGCTATAACATTATTACCATGGAATAGAGCATCTATCCTTGAATCGTGTAGAGCCTTTTATCTCAGCACCATGCAGAATTTGGCCATGCCTCAAATTTCTTGGAACAGGTCTGAGGTGAGGAATACATGTCTTCTTTTACGTACCAATTGACAAGAATCAGTCGTGAAGTTTGTTCTGTAATTTAGACCAAGCCATGAATCCATGTTGTCCCTAAGAGACGGAAATTAAGTGTGGTCCTTTACTAAGGATACTCGGTCGAGCTCAAGATTCCTAAGAAGCTATCAGAATTTTAAAGTTCATTTGGCTGCAATCTTGGTTATAAACATCAAGGATGGGTGAACAGGAAGTCCTTAATAATGTAGAAGAGGATTACAACTGTTGGGTGACAAAATGTAACTTTGAATTTTGAAATAAAATAAAATATTAACGATAAAGAAATACTGAAAGCAGGAAAGTTGTTATGATTATATGCAAATAGGCCTTGCTTAATATTGTCTTTTACCAGTAAATGATGAGAACAATCTTCTTTGGCAATCGCTCGTAGATGAGTAAGATTGTCTTCCATAAACACGGTTTTAACAATGAGTCCGTAAGTGACCGTGGAAGCCAATTCTGGATCCACACGTCCTTCCACAGTGGGGACCTTGGTTTCTGGGTGGGAGTTGATCACGGTGTGGATGTGCCAAGCATGCCTTCCTCTTTAGCATGTTTCTCCCTTGTGTCCTGAGTTCGAGTGTCTTCAAAGCCCATGACACTTTTGGTAAAGTCTGTTCTCCAACGGGAGTGCTCGCAGGCCAGTATTTCCCAGTTGTCAGTGTTTATACTACATTTTTTTAAAGATTTGCCTTGAGACAGTCTTTAAACCTGTTTTGTTGACCACCAGCATTACACTTTCCATTTTTAAGTTCAGAATAGAGTAGTTGCTTTGAAGACGGTCATCAGGCAACAATAACTGTATGTGGGATAATAAGTGTATGCTTTTCAATAAGCAGTTTTGAAAGAGATTTTCATTGTGGAAATTGTGCGATGGGAACAATAACTGGGATAGCTCAGCTGACAGAGCATCTTCCTTCAGGAAGACTGAGGGGAGTGTAGATCTTCCAGCATTTATCCTTACAACAGCTTGTTGAGATACATTTGGATGATGGGCAAAGAGAAAACTGTGGGAGGATCTCGCTTTGTGTATTTCCTGTATGTGGGCATTGTTGCCATTGAGAAGAGGTAAACACAACTGTGCAGTGGGATTGATTTCAATGGGTGTTGTGATGCTCTGCGCAGGCAGCTAAATCATTTCTCACAGGGCTGTTCTCATGAATGGAAATCACACTAGCCCATCTGCTTTTAAGCCCCACAGGTGCAGGACATCTGAATGATTGCTTTTCAATAAGCAGTTTTGAAAGAGATTTTCATTGTGGAAATCATGCGACGGGAACGTGTTGGCCTAACATTCATTAACACAATTTTTTAAAAATTGCCTCCCCTTCCAGGCTGCATTTGTGGTTTGTTTGGGTTTTTTTGTTTTTTTTTAAATGAGAAATCTGAGCACAGATCTCCCCACAAGAAAGAGGGAGAGGAAGCGAGGAGGGAGAGACAGAATGGCTCGAGATCACTAAGGGGTCCCTGTGCCCAATTTTAGAGAAGGCAGTCCTATTTTTGGTTTGCTGGTGTCCTCTATCTGGAGAGCTTGGGTCAAGTGCCATTTTAAGATAAAGAAGAAACCCAAGAAGAAAGGGTTTGGGGCCTTGATTCACCCACTTACATTTAAAACCCAAATAACAGACTGAGGAGGCACACAGGTTTTCCCTATATGTATAGATTAGTGTGCATAAATGTGATGGAGATCTGTTTGCTCCTTTTGCGAGGCAGAGATGCTGTGTAATTAAGGGGCCAACCTAAATCTCATTCCTTAAACAGGGCAGGAATTTGGAAGTGCATCTTCCTGATTTAAATCTAGCAATCTGGCCACGGTGTGATACTTGCTCTCAATTTGTAATAAGTGCTACATTCCAAACATTCTCCATATACTGAACCATAATACAGGCAAAAAGAAGGAGATGCTGATCACTCTAGTTTTTAAAAGTGTATCCACTCTTTAAAATATTAAATTTAGTCATAGTGATTTAACACAGACATAGTGGTTCAGTGCAGGGGAAAAAAGGCCAGGTGAGAATGGTACTGATAAGTATTGGTGCATTTGTGTGATGTTTTTGATTAATTTTTTCTCAGTTTGCGAGAAATAAACACTTCACATGCAGCTGCAGTTACTCCTGGCCCTGATGAGTATACATGCACAATTCACACATTTGTCTCATTCCAGCATTGCATTTTTAGTCATATGATTGAAGAAATATTCACTGTACACCTAAAAATGTAGGGTGAATATGGCCGTAGCCTGAAAACACAAGCAAAACTTCAAGGTTCTCCATTTCCTTTATGTATGTGGCAACTATTTGGTTTGATCTCACATATGGCATTGCATGACACAGCCAGTTAAAGCAATGATTGCTGCTGAATTAAATATGCTGTGGAAACAAATTTGTTTTCTGCACCTCCTGTTTGGGAGGATAATAGGAATGGGTGATAACTGGAGGAAGACTTGATAATTCTGTGCTATTCTCTCTTTTTCTAGGCAAATGGCAAAGGCATCATCTCTCTCTCCACAGATCAGGAGCCTTTAAAAACTAGATGTTTCTTTGCTAACACATGGCTCACCAACAAGTAGGCTTCTTTCAGAAGTATCTTATATAATTCATTAATATATGGAATAATATACAAAGTCAACGTTGCATACAAAAAAAGTTCCTGAGGTGCTGTCTTTCTTAAAGCTTACCAAATTTTCCTGAAAGCAAGCAAGCAAGCAAGCAAGCCAGCCAACCCACTGGCTTCTATGAGTCAGCAGAGAGCTGCTCCACAAACTTCTAGGTCTCATCTGCGCTGCACATTTAAAACAGCATCATACCAATTTAAACAGTACAGTGGTGCTTCGGGTTACGAACTTAATTCGTTCTGGAGGTCCATTCTTAACCTGAAACCGTTCTTAACCTGAGGTACCACTTTAGCTAATGGGGCCTCCAGATGCCGTCGCACCATTGCCACACGATTTCTGTTCTCATCCTGGGGCAAAGTTCTTAACCCGAGGTACTACTTCCGGGTTAGCGGAGTTTGTAACCCGAAGTGTTTGTAACCCAAGGTACCACTGTAATGGCTCCACACACAGCCCAGGCAAGGAATCCTGGGGATTGTAGTTTGTTAAATGTCCTGGGAGTTGTTAGGAGATCCATATTCCCTTCACAGAGTTACAATTCCCAGGGTTTCCCGGAAAAGAGACTGATGGTTAAAGCACTTTGAAAAGTCTAGCTCTGTGAGGGCAATGGGGATCTCTTAACAAACTATGGCCCCCAGGGTTATTACAGGAGAGAGCATTGGTGTTTAAAGTATGCTATTGCTTTATATTTAAAGTGCAGGCGGAGCCCTGTACTCTCCCCCCCCCCCCCGAAATCCTACTAACAAAGATTCAAAAGGAATCACTGAGTTGGTTATTATGGATACTCTGGAACCTTTTGGATCAGGTTGACTGTATTAGAGAACCATCCTGATGGGTGGGTAACCTTGTATAATAAGCAGTAACTTTAATTTCCATAAATAACATGATTACTTGTGCTGCAAACAGTGAACTAAAAATATACATATTGTTGATAGTACTTTTCTCCACAAAACAATTTATTCTGTGCTCAGGCCACATCTCTTCTTTCCCTTCTCATTCTCAGGCGAGACTTCAGGCAACTTAGGCTTTCCTTTATTATTGTGAATCCTGCACTTTGGATTGATTGCAATGTTGCTAAAGTGGTAAGAGGATTAGAATTTCCTTAGTTTCTTCACAAAGCTGAGGATGTCAAGGGTCCTAAAGACACAGACAAACACGAAAGCCTTCATGGGAAATAAATGTCTTCCTTTAAAGTTGGACTTCTGTTCAAGATATTGAATATTTGCAGATTTGCAAATCAGCACATTCATTTAGGTTTTCTGTGTGGTGTGTGTCACAGAAACCTGTTGGTTGCGAAGGGTGATGATAACAGGCATCAGAAAGGCCACAGCTGGTACTTCATTTTGGATGAGCAGAACCTAATGTTCACCAGTAAGCATGTGGACAGAAGGGCCATTCTGGAGAGTCCCTGAGCTCCTTTAGGAGGAAGAGTGGGACATTAATTGAATGAATTGGTAAAAAATCAATCAATCAAACCAATAAATATAATGGGATTCCTTCACTGTCTGAGTTACCCAAAACATTCCCCTGCACCTAGCAGAAGAACATTGTCTTTATGTTGCAGTTGTAAAATCACCCATGCTAGGGAGTAGGGCTCCCTAATGTAGTGGGGAGTATGTCTCTACACGCGTAGTAGGGGTGAGGAACCTCTTTCTGACAGAAAGCCACATTCTCTTCTGCACAACTTTGTGGAGGCCAGGGTCAGAGGCAAAAGTCAACAGAGCAATCAATGTGAATTCTACCATTGTGCAGTAGCCTAGTTTCTTCACAATCTCACATCTTTCTCTATCCTCCATCCAAGCAAGCAAGAAGCATTATCAGAATTCAAGGACACATTCCAGTCAGGGGAAAACATTCCAAGTGGGGAGGAAAGCACAGCTGGTGCTTTCTTCAAATTCACACTAATGAACATTCTATAATTTCTTAATATTACATGTTCCCTTCTCAGCACCTTCTTCTGTCTTATCTCTTTGCAGGGAACAGGTGTTTATAAAGCAGAATTGTCAAAGCCATTACTTGGATGGAAGGGTTTCTTTATTGAGGTAAATATAATCTCTAGTTGAGTATTTGACTCATTCTTGCACAGCTTTTTCCTTAGAAACACGGGCTGCACATTTTCCATGAAGGCTGCTGAATGTGCACAATGTTGGGTTTTATGTACATTAACTGTTGAACTTACATTCCCTTTAATATTAACTGAAACTAAGTGCTCCAAGACTGTTGTGCAACTGTATAAATAGGCACAAAGTATTCTGCGATTCAGCACTGCTTCTAAAATCTGCAGTAAGATGCATCCATCATTTCTTTGATATCTCTGTGCTATAAACTCCTAATCCTGCTCCATTCAGCTCTCTGCAAAGGAACATACAGTGGTACCTCGGGTTAAGTACTTAATTCATTCCAGAGGTCCGTTCTTAACCTGAAACTGTTCTTAACCTGAAGCACCACGCCGCCGGAGCATGATTTCTGTTCTCATCCTGAAGCAAAGTTCTTAACCCAAGGTACTATTTTTGGGTTAGCGGAGTCTGTAACCTGAAGCGTATGTAACCTGAAGTGTATGTAACCCGAGGTACCACTGTATTGAGCAGAACTGCCATTTCTTTTCCAGGTAACTTTCAAAGGACCTGAGAACGATAAGCATGTTTTCACCTCAGAGGTTCAAATCATCCCAGACACTTTTCCATGTGCAGACTGCAAGGGAGAAGGATGCTATGGGAAGCTGGTGTGAAACCCTGCAGAGAAAATGTGGCTTCTGTTGCTGACAGCATCCATGAGGGAAGACATAATGAAGCAGGCCCACCTGGATGAATTTTACCTTTATGCTTTCCATATAATCAGTTATCCACATATCCATATATAACCATATATATTTATGATGATTTTACATAATCCATGCTTGAATCATGAAGGCTTCTGCACAGCTAAAAGCAAAATGCTTAGATTTGGAAATCCAAATCGACCTCTGCCCCAGTTCTCTCCCCTTGTTCTTCTTATGTCCTCAAATGCCTCACCAACAAAAGGGGGGAAGCAATAAATCTGATGTGCTGTCACTTTCCTTCTGTCCAGCCAGGGTCCCCAAGCAAGCTAAAACATATATGTCCCTGTATAACAGATGTTGCGTAGGAGACGTTATCAACAGTGAAACGGCCAAATACAGTTCCTTTCTCTTTAGGTTTCCCTTTCTCCTTTCTTACCATAAACCAGGGGGAAAGGTCGGACTGATGTACAGACTGAAGAAAGCAGAAGTTGGGAGGGAAATCTTTGTACGATCAGGGGCAAGGCTTGAATGCGCTCATTGGTTTTATTTTTGCTGCGCGTATGTGATTGTATTCGATTATGTCATGTATGTACTCAGGTATAAAGCCTCAGGGCACTAAGTCTGGGGTGCCCGTCTCTGGAACAATTCCACTGGGTCTGTTAATTGCTCAGCAATAAACATCACTTTCTTTTTCTCCACTGCTGCGTCTGTCAATTCTTGGACACAATTTGATTGGGTCACTGGTACTTTAAAATCCGTGCAACAATAAGAGGCATTGGAAAACCACGCGGAGAAGTGGGTGGACAGAGAAGGAACCTCGTGCAGAGAAAGCAGACAGGTCCCACTTAAACTGAAATGAAATAGGTGCAGGGGTGTCACTCAGGATCAGAAGACCTAACCAAGGAGCAGATGCTGTGGCAATGGGGAATGGGGAATGCGTAGGGTGGATGTGTGAAGAATATCAGACATGAGAGGAAGGGGCTGGTTCTATAGAATGATGAACAAGTAAATATGACACAGGAAAGTGTGCCTTTTTGATTCCCAGTGCCCTGGATCATAATAAAGTATATAGCTATGCTTTATAAGTCTTCGATGAAACTCTGTACTAGTTTCTGACCATTTTATGCAAACAGTCCAATTCCTTATCTTACTTTTAAGACAGTTTAACCTCATAATGGGATTAAATATTCTCTGATCTAAGTACCCTATTTTTTGCACCATAACACTCACTTTTTTCCTCCTAAAAAGTAAGGGGAAATGTCTGTGCGTGTTATGGAGGGAATGCCTACGGGTGGCATGCCTACGGATTTTCCTCCTCTAAAAACTACGTGCGTGTTATGGTCGGGTGCGTGTTATAGAGCGAAAAATACGGTAATTAATTACAACTGTCATGTAAAGTGATTGAATTCAAATTCTGCACAAGGCACGGACCAACAGCTTAACTTCCTTGGCTAGCTATCATCACCTGCCTTTAGAATCCATTCTGCTAAATGGGGATACAGTACTAAAAACACGAATATGCCTTAATATCGCCTGCAGGGGTTTCCATTGTCCTATTCCCATCTTGCTGTTTCCCCCTCCATTATCAAATATAGCTTGTTTCTGGCATTTGTGCATTTGGTGACATTTTCTTGTGTTTTGAAGGCATATGTGTATTGCAAGGAGGAAATTCAATATGATATGAGATTCCCAAATGAGTGAAAATTACATTGAGTCCCAGGAACACAGTAAAGCTCTGGCAAAAGCAGAACACTTCAGATTTTTTGTGCATGACTAATTGCTAGCCCAAACAATCAGGCATACCAAAAGTTTGCCATCCAGGTATACCATCACATAACATACAGTCTCCCACTGATTTTCGGAGGATTGAGTGGTACCACATCTGTACTTCACACCCTTTCTCTCCCAGCCCTCTTTTCCCTTCCTCAGCTGCTTAACTCTTCCCTCCCCTCCAATCCCAATGTTGATTCACCTCAAGCTTTTCCCCAAGCTTTGCTCAAGCTTCACCCCAAGCCAGTGTGGTGTAGTGGTTAAGAGCGGTGGACTCATAATCTGGTGAACCGGGTTCGCGCCTCCGCTCCTCCACATGCAGCTGCTGGGTGACCTTGGGCTAGTCACACTTCTCTGAAGTCTCTCAGCCTCACTCGCCTCACAGAGTGTTTGTTGTGGGGGAGGAAGGGAAAGGAGAATGTCAGCCGCTTTGAGACTCCTTCGGGTAGTGATAAAGCGGGATATCAAATCCAAAAGCTTCTTCTTCTGCTGCTGGGATGCTGGTGGGGGTGGGTGTTCGTCAGCTGAGCAGGTATGTTGTGGCCCATGTGAGATTTGCAGATTGCACATTTCTGCACTAGAGACATAGAACACAAGGTTGTTTCTTGGAGGCTATGCATACTGATTGGAGAATGTGCATATTAGCTTGAGAGTTTACTATATGCAGCTGAGCTGTACATACCAAAAGACATAGGCACCATCTCCTAGGGGCTGAGCTCCCTTTGGCTCCCCAATAAAATATTTGAGGAGCTGAGTTCCCCCAAAGTTTATGCATATCCCTTCTTTAACGCTGCTCCCCTCTTTATATGCAGACAGGGAAGACATATGAAAAGAAATTGGTTTGTCCCCACCATGTCTAGTTGTGCACTCCTAAACAAGGAGATATGACTCAGGAGTCTGTCATTGTGATATCTCCCACCACAGAAGGTTTTTTCTTCATTGCAATGGTTTAAAAAAGCATGTATAATGGGGAACACTTCTCACAAATACGTAAAGCATACAGAAGTTTCTCCACTATGAACAATCTAAATGGCTCAGAGCAATCATCATCATCATCCCCAGCCCATCTGACTGGGTTCCCTCAGCCACTCTGGGCGGCTTCCAGCACAGATAAAAACATAAAAAAATGTCAAACATAAAAAAACCTCCTGATACAGGGCTGCCTTCAGACGTCTTCTAAAAGTTGTGCAGTTCTTTATCTCCTTGACATCTTTTGGGAGGGCATTCCACAGGGAGGGCGCCATTGCCAAGAAGGCCCTCTGCTTGGTTCCGTATAACTTCACTTCTCGCAGTAAGAGAACTGCCAGAAGACCCTTGGAGGAAGACCTTAGTGTCCGGGCTGAATGATGGGGGTGGAGATGCTCCTTCAGGTATACGGGGCTGAGGCTGTTTAGGGCTTTGAAGGTCAGCACCAACACTATGAATTGTGCTCAGAAATGTACTGGGAGCTAGTGAAGATCATTTAGGACCAGTGTTATATGGTCCCAGCAGCCACTCCTAGTCACCAGTTTAGCTGCCACCTTCTGGATTAGTTGTAGTTTCCAAGTCACCTTCAAAGGTAACCACACGTAGAGCGCATTGCTGTAGTCCAAGTGGGAGATAACCAGAGCATGCAACACTCTGGCAAGACAGTCTGTCCAAGCTGCCTTGGACACAGAATTGACCTGTGCCTCCATGGACAGCTGTGAGTCCAAAATGACTCCTAGGTTGTACACCTGGTCCTTCAGGGGCACAGTTACCCCATTCAAGACCAGGGAGCCCCCACACCTACCCACCCCCTGCCCTCCCCCAAAACAGTACTTATGTCTTGTCGGGATTCAACCTCAATCTGTTAGCCGCCATCCATCCTGCAACCACCTCCAGACACTCACACAGGACCTTCACCGCCTTCACTGGTTCTGATTTAAAAGAGAGGTAGAGCTGAGTATCATCCACATGCTGGTGAACACCCAGCCTTAACCCCCCCCTAATGATATCTCTTAGTGGCTTCCACTGGGATGATCTCTCCCAGCTGCTTCCAGTATAGAAGTTGGAAAGCATGAGGAAAAGGTGGAGCTCTGAGACACCTCACAAGTGAGAGCCCAGAGGTCTGAACACTCATCACCCAACACCACTCTTTGGACATGGCCCAGGAGGAAGGAGCAGAACCACTGCATAAAAGTGGCCCCAGCTCCCAACTCCTCTAGATGGTCCAGAAGGATGATCAATGGAATCAAAAGCCGCTGAGATATCCAGCAGAACCAGGAAACAGCATTCACCTTTGTCCCTAGCCTGCCAGAGATCATTGACCAGTACGACCAAGGCAGTTTCAGTCCCATGATGGGGCCTGACTCTCAATTGGAAGGGATCCAAATGATCCGCATTTTCCAGGTGTGCCTGGAGTTGTTCAGCGACCACCTGCTCAACCAGCTTCCCCAAGAATGGAAGATTTGAGACCAGGCAATAGTTGGCCATAGTGGCCAGGTCCAAATATGTTTTTCCAAAGAAACAGTTTGATGACTGCTTCTTTAAGCAGGTCTGGGAAGACTCCCTCACAGAGGGAAGCATTCACCACACTGCGGAGCCCATCACCCAGCCCTTCCCGGCTCGCTTTTATGAGCCAGGATAGGCAAGGCTCAAGTAGACAGGTGGTCGGTTTCACTCGTCCAAGGAGCCTGTCCATATCCTCAGAGGTAACAGATTGGAATTGATCCCATGCAACTTGGCTAGACAGGGCTCTAGCCCTCTCTTGCCCCGGTCCTGCTCCCATGGTAGAGTCTACCTCTTTCCGAATCTGAGTGCAAAAAACAAAATTATTGCAGGAGATCTTGTGGTCCTCACCAGGCCCCAATGGTGACAGTGGTTTGGTTAGGATTATGAACCACCTGAAAGAGTCTCCTGGTGCTGTTCTTTGCAGATGCAATGAAGGCAGTGAAGAAGTTCCTCTTTGCTGCCACTATCACTACTTGGTAGGCTCGACGTTGAGCTCTAACCCGTTTTAGGTCTGATTCAGAATGAGTTTTCTTCCACTGGTGCTCTAGCTGTCTCAGCAATTGTTTCATTGCCCTCAGCTCTGGGGTAAACCATGGGGCCATCCAGGCTCCATGTAATCAGAGAGGGTGCTTCAGAGCCAGACAGTCGATAGCCCTGGTTAACCTGCATTCTAGCAGGCCACCAGGGAATCAGCTGAGAGCCATTGACATGGGATAAGACAGCCCCTACCACCCTCTGGAAACCATTTGGATCCATTACGTGGCAGGGGTGGACCATCTGTATCAGTCCCACCTCCCTGCAGAGAGGAAGGGTCGTGGAGAAGTCCATTTGCACCAGGAAGTGATTCGACCATGACACTTCTTTTGTTTCGCTTTTACTTAGTGTCAGATCACCCACATCCATAGAGATGAACACCAGGTCTAAGGCATGTCCGCAACTATGAGTTGGGCCAAACTTATTCAAGGACAGCCCCATGGAGGCCATGCTTTCCAAGAAGTCCCGAGTGGCCCGTTGTAAGGTTGTGTCAGCATGGATGTTAAAATCCCCCATGACAACCAAGCTAGGTGTCTCTAGGAAAACATCCACCATGACCTGAAGCAGCTCAGGCAGGGAATCCTTGGTGCAGCAGGAAGGTTGGTCCTGCTGCTGCACCAAGGATGCAGGAATCCTGCACTGCACCTATTGCCCAACTTCCAGAACGTGCACTCAGAAAACTGCCTCTTCCCAATAGGATGCCTGGTGCAAGCTAATGACCTCCTAAAAATCACTGCAACCGCCTCCCCGCCCACAAGACCTGGGTGCTGTGTGTAAGAGAAACCTGGCAGACAAGCTGTGGCAAGAACATGCTGATCTGCCATGTCCAACCAAGTCTCTGTTACACATTAGCAATGTAGCACAACAAAAGCAATTGAGGTAATTGTTACAAGTTTGTTGGGAAGTGTTAACACTCACACAAGTACTTCAAATGCAGCCCGTGTCTCAAAAACATTTCAATATTTGTTTTTTGTTCCAACTGGCCTTTGGGCCAACATACCTTTGGCAGGGTTTCTGAGGGTACCCCCCCCCTTTTCTACTGCGCCTTTAAATTGTTTTAAGATTTTTAATGATGCTCTTAATAGGGTTAATTATTTAAACTAGTTTTTAATAATGTTGGAAGAGTTGGAGAGTTGGAAGGGATCCCGAGGGTCTTCAATCCCCTACCAATATAGGAATCTTTCGCCCAACATGGGGCTCAAGCCCTTGACCCTGAGATTAAGAGTCTTCTGCTCTGCCAACTGAGCTAGGTTGCAGCTTCAGCTCCCGTCAGTTCCAGCAGGGCCAAGAGTGAAGGATGATGCGAGATGTAGACATCTAGAGGCCCACAGTTTCCCCACCAATGCATTGCATGGATGTGTGCTCATTGCACACTTCCTTCAGGCAAGCAAGAAGTTATCACAGTGCAAGGACACATTCTGGACAGGCAAAATGACTCACGGAGGGTGCACAGCAGGGCCTTTGTGAGCTGTGGCCTGGAGAAGATGCAGAGGTTACAAAGAATCCTGAGGGTTTTGTCCACATTTGACCCCTAGGCTTGAGGGTCCAGAGCAGTTTCACAGATCAATGAAAAACAACCAAAAGTAGATGACATAAAAGGAAAAGGGTATAGGAAGGAAGGAGGAAATGAACAAGCTCAGTTCTTAAAGTTATAATGGCCAGTTGGGAACTGGGCATATTTTAACGCAGGAGCTCCCAGGTCTGCCACTTGGAACCTCCAGTCTGAAAGACTTCCTGTAGGACAGGGCTGAACTGGGAGGAGTCACTCTTGACCCAACAATTTGGAAAGCTGCTGCTAGTCAAAATGGAGAGAATGAGCTGAGATAGACCAGTTCCACAACTCAGAATAAGCCAGCTGCATCTGTTGGTTTGCAGTCAGGGAATTATGGCAGGCCAGTGTCCTGGGCCTTCATCCTGGAGCTCTCTCTGCCTCACCCAAGAATGCCTTCCTTTTTTTTACATGAACTTACACCTACAGCTTGGCAGCCGCTTTGAACTACCAGATTTTGCCCATGGTGCTGTTTACATTCTAGTTCTCCACCCCTTCCTGGCAAGGTAGAAGCTCTTCCCGGCATCGCTGCAAATCTCTTCCTCAAGTAATTACATATTCATTTCCAAATAACAGCAATAGCAACATTCACTGGCATCTCTGTCAGTCTGAGGCAACACCTGTGTATAGAAAGAATCTGGCAATGCAAACATTTCATATGAAATATCTTAATTGGCGCAATATTTTTTCGGGACCAGAATGAGGACAGAAAGCTCACACTGGGAAAGAACCTGAATCTCCTTGTCTTCTGGGGAAATGCAGGGCAGTTGGAGATTGGATTGGAAATGCTTGTAGAAGTTTGAGTTGAGTACATCCGATTGTGAAAAGTCCTAACATGATATTGTAATATCAGGGTCCCCAGCTCCTAAAAAAGATGTTAGTGGAACTGAGAATATGTTGTGTCAGCTGGGGCAAAAGGCAGTGGGCTCTGTAGGAAAGTATGCTGTAGAGATGGTTGCAGATTGCGCGCTCCTGAACAAGAGATAGATATTCCGCACACAGTTTTCTATATCATAGAAACTAGCTCTCAGTTAAGAACTAGCCTTAAGAGAGGACTCTACTCTGTTTTTACTTTTTGTAGCTGTTTTTGTAGATGTGCACAATCCTTTCTTCATGGATCACTCACTTTTGCATTTTCCACAAGGCTTTTTATGCTCAGTTTACATTCCCCTTAACATATATGTCTGAAATGGCAGAATCAAAAAGAAAGAGGTCTTAAAGCTGTGGTAAACAACTGTTAAGAACTACCCTTAAGATAGCACTCCATACTCGTTTTAAAAAACTTTTTGTAGCTGTTTTTATATTTTATTTACATTTTTATATTTTATTTACATTCGTTTTCTATATCTTACTGTATAAAATCGTGAAAAAATTAATAAAAATCTTAATGAGGGGGGAAAAACCCTCAGTTAAAATATTGACTAGATCTGTTGTAGCTGTTGAAGAAGTGAATTCTATGGCAAGGATTGTTATGAAAGGGATCAAAACTGAAATTGATCATAGTCCCGTACAAATCTAGACAGTTTTGGTCACTCACCACACCTCAAAAAGTCATATATAGATTGTGGATGGTGTGAAGATGGCTTTGCAAAGGAATTAGTCAAATCCCTGAGTAATCCTTGACTGTCCAGGGCTGCTAGTCATGCTGGCTGTGTACAGGCTATGAGGGAATATATGTCTGGTCTACTGGAAAACCATAGGAGAGGGAGATTGCACTCTTGTTCTGTACCACAACTGCAGAGGGTAGGAAGTACTTGCTGCCAAATAAAGTTTTAAAACTTTTCCTCTTCCATCCAAAAAGCCAACTTTGAATTGTGAAATGGGAGCTGCCATGCTACAATGCCGAAATGCTTCCCCCCCCCGAAACGTGCTTAGGTGGGGGGCAAACCCATGGTGCAAGTGGAACAGAGCAGCCAACGGCTCCAACCTGAATTGATGAGTTGGAGGGTGCTTTGCGGCAAGAGGCCAGTGAAGAGTACAGTAACTAGCACACTTCCTCCTCTGCATGATTTGAATCAGTCTGCTTAAATGCTACCTCACCCATCTTAACCAGGACCCTCCCTGATAAGGGATCATTATAAATAAGGAGGAAATATCTGATGATGTTTATGGAGAGAACTGCTCTAGAGGAAAGCAGGGTTTTTCCACCCGCTGGTAGCAACTGTGATCTGAAGCAGGACAACTCCTTGGACGCAGTCACACGCCTTTTTCAAGGCCAAGGTACCTGCTTGACTATGTATGCTGCTCTCCTTCTCTTGGCAGCCTGCCTGCCCTCTGGACGGATGGTGGAGCAGAAGGCCCTGGATGTCTACGTGAAGCAGTATGACCCTCACTATAGATACACCCTGATGAAGAAGGAGGAGAAGTGGGGTGCCACTGTCTATACGCTCAACATGACCTCCCTGAAGTGGCTGAATGGTGAGAGTAGAATCAATCCCCTCACTGCTCTTTTCCTTTGAGGGGGGTGCAGGGGTGGGAGGGAGGAAGGATAGGCCTTTGAGGAGGCTGCTGGTGGGTGTGATTCCCTCTGTGGGAAGCGAAGAAACATGAGGGGCAGTAAGCACTAGTCCTGTGGTCTGCCGTGGCTAGTTATGAAAGGGATCCAAACCACTGCTTCTTCCTACCTTCTGGGGGAAACTGAATCAGTTATGGAGCAAAAAAAGCAAGGCCATGGGTCCAAACAGAAAATGCATAAACAGTATTGTATGTTTCACCCTCCTTTTTACTCTCAAGAACTGAAAAGTTACCATAAATAGTTGGGGGAGACACTGTTTCTTCATGTGCACTTGAGAAAAAGGTGAGGAATGTTTATGACAGTGGAAGGGATGTAATTTTGGTGATGGCTACGTGAACTTGTCTCTTTGCAGCTGTCTCTATAGACAGAGTGATCCTTACATTAGTTTGCATAGATGAAAAAGTCTGGATCTCTAGAAACAGTGGGGGAAGTAACACACTCAGTGTTACCCCAAGGGGCCATTTATGGGAGGATTCTTCCTCCACTCCGCAACATGGTGGACGCAGCCTTATCTTTCTCTCAATGTAAGTCGATGGAAAACTTGAATGGGTGTGAAGGAGATTCTGAATACCCAGAAGAACTAGCAGAGGTGGTGATGGGGCAGAATGCCATTTACCCACCAAGGAATCTAGGAGGTATCAAGGTCCTTGCTGCGAAGGTGACACCCCACCCCAACTGTTCCCCCATCAACAGGGCTGGGCGATATCAGGGTTTCAACACAATATACCACCAATATATCACAATGTCTGAAATAAGGCTGTAACGATGTGGAGGCGAACAGGGTAAAGTCATGGCAACTGCTACTAGGGGTCCAAAACTGATAAATGATGATATTATCAATCACCACACAGTCATTTTCATCAGCAGGGAAGTCAAAATGCATCCAAAGAGAACTTTTGGTTTGGGGCACAGCTACCAAATGGTGGTGTTCAGGAGAATCCAAAGTACAGTGATGATTCATAGTGAATACAAATAAACTGGGAAAATATTGAACAAAATATATATATCTAAATTTGATGCATATGAAAATTAACTCAATGATAGCATGCTTCAACTAAACCATTAAAGATTTCTGGATAATATATCAGTTTTAGGGGCAAATTAAAAATTTAAGAAAATAGATGATTTAGTAAAAATTTTAATTAAACTTGAATGTGGTTAACAATTTAATCTATTTTCAACTAATTAAAGAGGAGTTTAAGCGATTTCCTAGTGTCAAGTCACATCTGCTTCCCCTCTCAGAGGGCCAAGTGCAATACTGCAATTCTATGACCTCAGTTCAACTACACTTCTACTTTCCTGGGAGTAAGTCCCATTGAATTCAGTTACCAAGAATCACCTTCCCCATCATTCTCACCTCACAACAACTACCCAGTCTCCCATTTCAGCATATAAGGCAGCCACTGTTAAATCTCCCTCCTCCATTTCCCTCTATTGCAACACAGACAGCCCTCCCCCAAAAGCCCCCATCCCACCAATCTCTCCCTTTTTATCAAAGGGAGGAAGGGAAGGCAAGGAAGCGCAAAGGTAGCATCCTTTAAATTAAACCAACCCCCCTTTTTTATATGAGAGAAGCTATTTAAGGTGAACCAACAACGCCTTACTTTACACGGGGGAAAGGGCTCTTTCTCCACAAGAAGCCCAGAGCCAGCCTCGGACAGGCAGTAAAGGAACACCAGGAAGGGAAGACAAATGTGTCACACACATGCAGAAGGGGAAAGAGAGTAAAGAGGCTAAAACAAGAAATCTTTAATAAAATGTGTTAAAAATAAAACAAAACAAAAAACAGGAAAAGGTTTTTTGTTTGTGGTTCTTTGAAGAAAACAACCCCACTGTTTTCATGGGAGTAAGGAATGGGGAAAGGGGTTCCCAGCAAGAAGCCTGGAGCCAGCTCAGACCAGCATTTCCGTACACCACACCTACCAGCCTGGCAGGATGGCTACTAACCTACTTAAGCAAGAAGCACCTTGTGGCATCTGATAAGTTTCTACTGGCTTGCTGTTTTCGTCACCTGCACTTGCGATTCACCGCACTGGCAGGAAGCAACAGAGCTCAGCCTGGGCTCGCTGCAGAATCAAAAGAAGCACATGGTGAAGTGATTTTTGTTGGCTGCTCCACCTGCTCTTGCGAGTCATTCGCTGCCGCTGCAGGAGGCAGCAGAAGCACTAAGAAGGCTGCTGTTGTTGTTTAGTCATTTAGTCGTGTCCGACTCTTTATGACCCCATGGACCAGAGCACGCCAGGCACTCCTGTCTTCCACTGCCTCCCTCAGTTTGGTCAGACTCATGCTGGTAGCTTCGAGAACACTGTCCAACCATCTCGTCCTCTGTCGTCCCCTTCTCCTTGTGCCCTCAATCTTTCCCAACACCAGGGTCTTTTCCAGGGAGTCTTCTCTTCTCATGAGGTGGCCAAAGTGTTGGAGCCTCAGCTTCAGGATCTGTCACTAAGAAGGCTGGCTACATGATTTCCCCAAAATTATGAAGTTTGCATAGCATGCACACACAACACATATCATGATTCATGATATGTTGCCAGATAACATATTATGAAACCATTAACATGATGTGGACTTCAAAACCAGTTTGGAACGAAATATTGAAATACTTCCCAGGCCTAATGCAGATACAGGCTCTTCTTTGAACCTAACTCAGCCAATGGGACTACCATTTGTTTGCATTAACTTTCTGCTCAGGACAGGTGTGGAGGGGTGCATTCCCCCCCTTTTAAAGTGATCCTGCAGGGACAACTCACTTCCCAGATGACTTATGACCATGGATGGGTGGGAAATTAGATTCAGTTCGCACTTGGAGATCAGCCTACCTAATTTGCAATTCCCAAAGCCATATGAAAACTGAATCATAGCCATCCTTTGAAATTCACATTTCTCCAATGCCATTATTCAGCCAAGTAATATGGGGAAAAAAGAATATATTGTAGTCAAGATCAAACACAAGAATGCATTTCATTAGGAGACATTGTTTTGCAAAAATGTGTAGACTAGGCAAAATTGCATACAAAAATTTCCATGTTAGGTCAAATGTACATTAAAATGCATGGGGATATATATGTTAGGATATAGTTCTGTTCCGCCTTAAAAGGAACAGGCATGACTGTTGTGTGTCACATGCCTGTTTACTTCCAGCACAGGCTTGCTGGGAACTTCCGTTTGTATATTGTTTTTGCTATAAGGCTGTTTGCTGGACATGAAGGGAAGCAGACATGTTTTTCCTTTGTTCCTGAACTATGCTGAGTAATCGCCTGTAAATAATGGTTACACATATCTCTGTCCGCCACTTCCGTTTTGAGAAGATTTATTCACTCTGCTGATAGAGCGTGCCAAGTCTCTAAAGGTATCTGAGGCTTGTGTCGCTGTTTAATGCTGTTCTAAGGGAGACCGGTGATCGTCCGGCTGCCGGCCGGTGGCTGGAGCCACCTAGGGGCCTGCCTGATGCCCCCGTCTCCCCGGAAGTATCCCAACTACACACACACACACACACACACACTGCTGTGGAAATGTGGACAACTGAACTGGACATTTTAAAAAATGAGAGCCAGGGATACCAAAGCTGACAGATTCCCCCATCCCTGTTTAAAAAACTCTCCCACCTTTTTTTGCTCATCATAGTGGGTGGCGCTGTGGGTAAAAGCCTCAGCGCCTAGGGCTTGCCGATCGAAAGGTCGGCGGTTCGAATCCCTGCGGCGGAGTGCGCTCCCGTTGCTCGGTTCCAGCGCCTGCCAACCTAGCAGTTCGAAAGCACCCCCAGGTGCAAGTAGATAAATAGGGACCGCTTACCAGCGGGAAGGTAAACGGCGTTCCGTGTGCTGCGCTGGCTCGCCAGATGCAGCTTGTCACGCTGGCCACGTGACCCAGAAGTGTCTGCGGACAGCGCTGGCCCCCGGCCTCTTGAGTGAGATGGGCGCACAACCCCAGAGTCTGTCAAGACTGGCCCGTACGGGCAGGGGTACCTTTACCTTTACCTTAGTGGCAAGTAGGATAGAATGATGCTATAAACAAGAGAAATACCAATTTTTTATTGCAGACAGGGTGCCCTGTGAGTGGTGAATGAATTTGTAAAAAATACCCTTACTACAATTCTTCACAAAGAAAATGGTTTTTGTGTGTGTGTGGATTTCAACTTGGAGGGTGAGAGGTGGTGATTAGGAATGGATATGTCCATTTCAGTTCTTTCGGCTTCTCTTTTCTCCAATCTTAAATTAAGCTTTCCACATTTCTGCAGCTATCTGTGATATTTTAAAAAAGAAATTCCTCATGAAAATTGTTCAGTATTGTAGTGCCAATTTCTCCCAAGCAATTTCACTCAATATAATACATTTTTGTATGTTATTTTCATTGATGCAATAATTGCTATGCAGGTGGCAAGAATACACAGAGGAACTATACCAGAAAGAAATTGATGTCTCATATACCCCAGGTAGTGTGGTTGCTGACCTTGAGCCAGACATCCTGGAGAGTGAAGTCAAATGGGCCTTAGAAAGCATCGCTAATAACAAGGCCAGTGGAAGTGATGATATTCCAGCTGAATTATTTAAAATTTTAAAAGATGATGCTGTTAAGGTACTACACTCAATATGCCAGCAAATTTGGAAAACTCAGCAGTGGCCAGAGGATTGGAGAAGATCAGTCTACATCCCAATCCCAAAGAAGGGAAGTGCCAAAGAATGCTCCAACTACCGCACAATTGCACTCATTTCACACGCTAGCAAGGTTATGCTTAAAATTCTACAAGGCAGGCTTAAGCAGTATGTGGAACGAGAACTCCCAGAAGTGCAAGCTGGATTTAGAAGAGGCAGAGGAACCAGAGACCAAATTGCAAACATGCGCTGGATTATGGAGAAAGCTAGAGAGTTCCAGAAAGACATCTACTTCTGCTTCATTGACTATGCAAAAGCCTTTGACTGTGTCGACCACAGCAAACTATGGCAAGTTCTTAAAGAAATGGGAGTGCCTGATCTGTCTCCTGAGAAATCTCTATGTGGGACAAGAAGCTACAGTTAGAACTGGATATGGAACAACTGATTGGTTCAAAATTGGGAAAGGAGTACGACAAGGCTGTATATTGTCCCCCTGCTTATTTAACTTATATGCAGAATTCATCATGCGAAAGGCTGGGCTGAATGAATCCCAAGCCGGAATTAAGATCGCCGGAAGAAATATCAACAACCTCAGATATGCAGATGACACAACCTTGATGGCAGAAAGTGAGGAGGAATTAAAGAACCTTTTAATAAGGGTGAAAGAGGAGAGCGCAAAATATGGTCTGAAGCTCAACATCAAAAAAACGAAGATCATGGCCACTGGTCCCATCACCTCCTGGCAAATAGAAGGGGAAGAAATGGAGGCAGTGAGAGATTTTATGTTCTTGGGCTCCATGATCACTGCAGATGGTGACAGCAGTCACGAAATTAAAAGACGCCTGCTCCTTGGGAGAAAGGCGATGGCAAATCTAGACAACATCTTAAAAAGTAGAGACATCACCTTACCAACAAAGGTCCGTATAGTTAAAGCCATGGTTTTCCCAGTAGTGATGTATGGAAGTGAGAGCTGGACCATAAAGAAGGCTGATCGCCGAAGAATTGATGCTTTTGAATTATGGTGCTGGAGGAGACTCTTGAGAGTCCCATGGACTGCAAGAAGATCAAACGCATCCATTCTTAAGGAAATCAGACCTGAGTGCTCACTGGAAGGACAGATCGTGAAGTTGAGGCTCCAATACTTTGGCCACCTCATGAGAAGAGAAGACTCCCTGGAAAAGACCCTGATGTTGGGAAAGATGGAGGGCACAAGGAGAAGGGGACGACAGAGGATGAGATGGTTGGATAGTGTTCTCGAAGCTACAAACATGAGCCTGACCAAACTGCGGGAGGCGGTGGAAGACAGGAGTGCCTGGCGTGCTCTGGTCCATGGGGTCACGAAGAGTTGGACACGACTAAACGACTAAACAACAACAACAACAACATTCCCCTAATAAATCCATTTTCTGTAAACATTGGTTGATTGGATAATTGTACTGCAACATTTGGATGCATGCAAATTTCAAAGGATCGCTGTGTTTTGGTTCTCATAATGTTTCAGAAAGAATGCATTTCAAAGTTTTGCCCTTAAATGGCACCAGAATTTAATTTCTGCCCCCACCCCCTGGTGCTGACAGAAGTTAACAGCACCTGGAATGGGAAGATGTTGGATTAATTCAGGGTTGGGGAACCTGTGGCCCAGCAGATGTTGCTGAATTCTCATCAACCCTGACCAGTGGCTGGTTTGGGCTTGTGGGAGCTGGAGTTCAACAGCATCTGGAGAGCTACAAGTTCTCCATCACTGCCCTAAGTGATTTGATCTGTGTCAAGGAGAGTCCAGTGTCCTTCCTTTAACTTCTTTGTGCCAATTCTTTCTTACACTCTCTTTCTACTTTGTTAATTTTCTACTACTAGATAAATATTCATTATGCCTCCTGAGTGGAAAATGTATTTCAAGGGGAAAGTGGAGGCCTCATTCCCAGATGAATAGATTCTGTTTATCTTTTTTCAGAGTCTGAATTGACTAACCCAATTTGGTGGCATGAGCTGATCATTGCTGTGTCAAAGGAACAAAAACTGAAGGACTCATGTTTGCTGATGATTGGGAAAGGCGGAAATGATGCATCTAATACTTCCACAGATTTGAGTGTTGATGAGCTCATCAATCTAGCAAAATCCACTGGGTCGTAAGTAATTGGCTGGATCTCTGAGCAATGAATATTTCACCAGCTCTGCTCTGTTAAGACTGTTAAGGGAATTAGCAGCCCTACAAGAATGGAGAACAGTGAGGTAGACAGTCTTGATGGAGGGAGGTTGTGTAGAAAATACTTTTCCTGGTGGGGAATGAGGGTTAGAATTAGGGTTGCACATCATTTTTGGACAACGCTTGAGCTGAGGTGGAATGCCTCAGAATGATTTGGGGCTTATCTGAAGCAAAGCAGGATTTGTATGGGCATGGGCAGCTCCTGAGGTGCTTTGCAGTGTCCTGCAAATCCAGACGTAAAACAAGTGTTTAAAAAGTTTAGGGATGCTCTCATTTTCCTGCTCATATTGAAATACTGCCCCTCAATGAGGCCAAAATGTTTAGGGGTATGCATTCCCCTGCGTCCCCCCAGAAAAAAAGTACTGGGTATAAGAACTCAAGAGTGGCTGATGAGAGCTGTGTTGTCTGAGCTTGAGCAACCAGCTCAAACCTCTTCACATGCTGAGTTTCTGAGGTAGCCTTGAATACCTACTTCCTCCCAAGGTGAAGTGAGCATAGCTAAGCCTGACAGGGAGATTGCTCTATGGTATTAACCCTTTCATTCATTAATTAGACTTAAATATGTTCGTTATCCCACATGTACTAGAGGTGTTGTATATTTGCAACCTGTGAATGTTATTGGAGGAGGAAATACCGTACTGAGTTCTCACTAATAAAGCAGCCAGAAACAAAAATGGTCAGAAGGCCGGGTTCTCTATGCGCCACAGTGACATCTTAGTTCATCTTCCTCTCAGCCCCCCCAATAAGTAAGAAGAAAGGTAATATTTCTTGAATTCTCTGTCTCTTCCTTGATTTTAGTAAATCTTATGATTGCTCCAAAGCTGCCCAGAGGTATTGACTCTGGTCTCTTTGACCTCATTGCCTGTTGATCACAAATGATGTTTACTCCTGTTGACTAATATTTTGTTTTGTCTCCGAAGCTGTGCAGCTCTTTTGGGGCAGATTCCAAACCAGCCAATCACCTACAAGGTAATCTTAGCCATGCTGGGAACTTCCCACAATCATTTTCAAACTCGTGTAGGAGTCAGGAGTCAGTTGGGTGGGTGGAACTGGGGAAACCGGTATGGCTGTCACAGTTTCTCACTGGAAACTTCCATTACAGATTCTCTTTCCCCAATTTCACTCTAATGAGGGAAGTGTTTACTTTCTCAAAGCAAAATCTAGCAGAAATCTGCAGAGTGTCTGATAACCTTTCTTCATAAGCAAATTACATTTCATAATCGTGAAGAATTAACCATCTCTTTCGTAGAAGTGGTTCAAAATACTAGAATTAAAATGTGGGAGCCAAGTCATGAGGTGCTCATCTCCTTAGAGAAGGTGAAGGTGAGAGCAGCAGGAGCCTGTTCCCCAGATACATACTGGAGCCATGGACTCCTACTGCATTCCCAGTGGGTTGTACATGGGGCAACTGTGCCTCTTTATCTCTATGAGTTGAACAATCCTGGCCTGCCTTACCAGGACTTCTGTTCTTAAATGTTGTAGGGACGCGGGTGGCGCTGTGGTCTAAACCACTGAGCCTCTTGGACTTGCTTATCAGAAGGTCAGCGGTTCAAATCTGTTGGTGGGGCTCTGTCCCATCTTCTGCCAACCTAGCAGTTCGAAAACACGCCAATGCAAGTAGATAAATAGGGACCGCTGTGGCTGGAAGGTAAACGGCATTTCCATGTGCTCTGGTTTCCATCATGGTGTTCTGTTGCACCAGAAACAGTTTAGTCATGCTGGCCACATGACCCGGAAAACTGTCTGTGGATAAATGCCTGCTCCCTCTGCCTGAAAGCGAGATGAGCGCCGCATACCTTTTCTTAAATGTTGTGTTTGGTGGCTCAACAATTTGCAATCATGGTTACTGTAGGCAGTTTAGCCCAAATGTGTGTGTAAATGAAAGACATGCAGGATTTTGTTGGTATTTGCAGCGGAGAGAGGGGAGAGGATTTCTGTTGGATAGGTTTGGCAATATATTTGGCATACTGATCCCTGCTCCGTTAAGCAGAACAACCCATCCATCAACTAACCTAAACAGATGCCTTGCCTTGCTGGAGTGATAGCTAATTCCCTTCCTTTTTCACCTGGTGCCCCTCTCTGTGAACTAAGGCTGACCTGTCAGGCTGTTCTAGGGGTCCAGATGGGATGCTTCAACCAAAAACCCATTCATCTTTCTTTTATTTTGCTTCCAGACAATCCCTTTGCAAATGTGCAAGAACAGCTTTGAAAATGCTGTGGTTTATTGTACGTGGTGGAAATTCATGAATGACGAGAGTGAGCAACCTCACGGGCTAATTCAGTTTCCAATGGTCAAGGTAACTCTGGCTTTCTGCACATGCTGCTATCATTCTGGAAAAATGTTCTTTGTTGTTTCCAGAAACCCCTTAAAGCTGGTAGAACTACTGTAAGTTTTGCAAACCACATACCCCTTATATACATATACATATACATATACATATACATATACATATACATATACATATACATATACATATATACAAACACACACACACACACACACACACACACACACACACACAATCTATAAGCTTGCAAATCACAGAACCTAGAAGCAGGTGAGGTGGTGGCCTCAGGTGATAGATCGGAGTGCAAAGTGTACACCACTTGCTGCCACCTCCAACGTGGATGCCCCCTGCAGTAGTAGTAGTATGTGTGTGTCCATGCCTGTGGAGAGGTACGCCTGTGGCAGAGGTGGCAGTTGCATATAGGGGACATGGCATGAAGGCAGGGGCATGGCAGCAGAGGAATGGGTCCATGGAAGAGGAGGCTGGGGCTGGGACCTGGTGGCATTTGAATGTATTTGAATTAAGGATATCTCCTTGAGGTTTTCACCTACTTTTTGGAGCAGGTAAATTAGTTGTTTTCTGTTCCTGGTACACGGTCTGTATGGACAAATATTGTTTCCCATTAAGATATTCTGGAACAAGAACAAAATACAAGATGAGATGAATTGTAACGCATTCCTATATATGTTTGCACAGAAGTAAGATACATGGAGTTCAATGGACTTACTCCCAGGTAAGCATATCTAGGATTGCAGCCTTAGAAAAGGAAATTTGAAACTATCACAGTGGTTTCAATTTATGAAGATAGATTTTGTTAGTAATGATATTAGGAAGATGAATCTTGGTTGCCAAATCTCCTGTCTGAGATAAGCGTATTCAGGGATCAACTCCAGAGACTACAATCCTCTTCTGTTGTGTGCAGGCAGCTGTGCGAGGCATGGACACAATAACAGATTTCCTGCTGAAAGAATCTGGTGGAACAGTGAAGATCACAAAGTTCACATTGACTGGTATTTCCAAGGTAGATATGAACTGCAGGTCTGTGCTGTATTGGATTTTCGATACACCATAATTAACCCTATGCATGCTCATCCCCATTTCACCTGTATATGCCATGTTTGGGCTCTCCAGTGGGAACTGCATATCTCTGCATCTTTATGCTTTATCTCTTTGTTGTAGCGTGGCTGGGCCACCTGGCTGACAGCAGCTGTGGACAAGAGAGTTGTGTCATTTATTCCAATTGTCTATGATCTTTTGAATTTCATTAAGGTGAGTATCTGTTCAAAGGATGGGGTACTAGCTGTGTGTACTTGGTCTTGAGTCTTCTTCATAGTTCCTTCATAGTACTCTGGACAAATAAGAATATGCTGGCCATTTGCAGGAAGGCCACAAGTGTGAGAGCCAGTGAAACTTCTGAGGAAAGGCACTCCACAGCATCAGCATCACTGCTGCAAAGACCCTGTCCTGTGTCCTAATCAGCCACGCTTTTGAAGGCAAGGGACAGTGAGGAATCCCTCCAATGATTGTAAGGGGGAGGGGGGCAAATTTGTGGAGGGAAAATGGTCCTTCAAATATCCTGGTCCCAAATATTGGTTCATTAACTGTTGGCTTCTAGGTTTGGGGAGGAACACAGCTTTGCAAGCATATTTCTTTTCCCACAATCCTGGCAATTATGGAGGGTGAACTGGGTGATTTCATGAAGTGGTGCTATAGACATTCCATGTAACATTTGGTTCCTCTTAACCAGCATTCTTAACGGAACATAACAGAACACACACACCGAAGGGAGGGGCTGATTCCAGAGCAAAACACACAAGCCCCGCCCACCAGATACCAAGCACTCTACTATTCAAATTAGGCCCCAGTGTTTTTCTTACAAACACAATACAAGTAAATAGCAACAGCAACAACCCCCCCCCCCATGAGAGCCATAGGCACTGACTGTTGACCCTAACTTATTGGCATGTCCTGTTTTGTGTCCATCAGCTTAGCCAGAAGTATACCTAGGGGTTGGCAAAACTGACTACTGCCCAAGGGGTGGGGCGCTAAAATCACATGGTGGATGTTTGAGTCCTCCCATGACACTTGGAGTACTCCCCACCACTCAGCACTCCAACACCTGCCATGCCCGCAGAAGGAATCCACCAGGATCTCCAGGAGAAAAAGGCTGCTGCTGCTATTGCTATAGGAGAGACCAGGAAGGGGTCCTTGAAGTGGCTTCCAGGCACAGAGCAGAGCAGCTGCCCTGTCCAGCCCTGAGGATGCAAATTCCTCCTGTCCAGGCAAGCTCACCTGCTTCTAAAAAATTGGAGGCACCAATACAGCTCCAAGGGACCCTAGATATGCCTCTGAGCTTAGCCCTGCTAAAGAGCTGAATAAATATTATGGTTTTAGCATTTGACTCTCCTCCATACTGTAGGACTTCAGGTTCTTAATATATGACAGTGTCATATATTACCCTCCATCATTTCTCAGTGAAGTGATGGACATGAGGCAGGAGTTGATAATGCAGGTGAGCTGCGCCCAGGTGAGCTGCATGCAAGCTGCCGGCCAGCCCTGTGGAGCCTCCTTTTATTGACACGAATATGCAAACCCAGGCAGATACATTTTGGGCTTTACACATCTTCCAGTCCCGAGATCGTGGGGTGGTACAAAGCTATTTTGGCACCTGTTTCCACCATTTCATTTTCCCCTTGCACAGTGTATGATGAAGGAGACAAAAGGTCTCAAAGACAAAGGTTACAGACAGGGCACTGCAGACTACTGAGACCCCAAAGGGTTAGACAGTGGGCGCAATGTTCAGACAGCTGTGGCCTTATCTGTGAGGGGGATCTGTGCCCCGCACCCCAAGGTCACACGTGCAGGCAGACTGAAGCTGCCTGCGGGTGGGGAGTGTCCTCCCTCTGGACCTCGCGATCATCCCTACATCTCAGAAAATAGGGACATTCTACTAATGTAGAATGGAATGTTCTTATTTGATGTGCACTTAGAATTCTTTTCTTCTACTCTGCCACAGAACAGACATCATCAATACCGAGCATACTGTGGCTGGGGAAGGTCATTGAAAGTCTTCTATCAGCTGAACCTAACTCGGCAGTTGGACTCTCCACGGTTTAAGGAATTAACTTCATATGTTGATCCATTTCGTGAGTAATTCTTACCACCTCAGATTTCTCTGACAAATGAAATGGTAGCAGAATAGCAGAACAAAGGGTTGAATTGGTGGGAAAGGGCAGCCCTGGGGTGGCACTTACAAATAGCTCAAAAACATATTTTTTGTGATTTTGCCAAAAAGCTCAACGACTTTTGTGCCGGATTTTCACTTTTTGAAATATGGCAACCCTAAATTAAACCTAAGATAAAATATGGCAGGTGGCTACTTTGTGGAAAGTTTTAAGAGAATCCCACAAGGCCATGATCCTTCAAATCAAAGGGGCAGAGAAGTTATATTGGGATCTAGTACTAGATATTTGGGTTACAGGAAGTAAGTTTTTAAAATTACGGTTTGTTTGAGGGTTTTCCTTCTAAAACATATGAGAGCTTCTTCACCAGGAACAATAAGGGTGTGCCATCCTGTCCTCCATCTTGTGCAAAAATTATTTTGGGCCAGGCCTTCCTGTTGAAGATGAAGGTGGGATATAAATTATCCTAATAAATAAATAATGCATACTGAGGCATCTCATATTGGTTTCTTGATGACCTGGAGAACCTACTATCAAACTTCTTTCAAAGACCCAAACAGCATATATGCTATAGAAAGACTCCCTTTTCAACATTGCATCACCAACATTTGCTATCTAGACTTTGATCCATGGTGCTAGTTTGCCACAATAAGGCTGTTTTACATATTTTTCAATTATATTTTTCTTCCCACCTGCCCAATGAATGTCTCTTGTTTTCCATTGCTCCTGTCCAATCTTATCAGCCTTTGATGATGGAAATAAGTAGTAGCAACTTGAGAACTGCATGTGTTGACCAATACAGTAACATTTAATTTTTCAATCCTCAGAATATAATGAGCGATATCAAAATAAGCCCAAGTGCCTTATCTGTGGAACAGGAGATGGAATAAACCTGCCGGATGACTCTCACTATTTCTTTGATCAACTAGCAGGAGAGAAATATATCCGGTGAGTTCATGCTGCAAAAAAATATCCTTTTCGAGGCAATGAAATAATCCTTCTGGTTAAAGACAGTGACTAGATGGCTTGAGACCCAAATGAGAGACAATACTGTAATTTGAACTGAGAATGCACAGATCCCTTAGTGTTGAGCGAACCCCCAGTGTAGTCTGAATGATAGTACCAATGAACAAGACTGCTGATCTTTGCTGCACAATTCACATAGGCTTTGAACGATGATGCAATGTTTTTTACTTGTATATTTCTATATATGTGTGCATTCTTTCTAAAGAGGAAAAACTGTGGAAAGTCAAATTTCTGTGGTTAGAAGAAACATGTTGTTGCTATATCTTTCTCTATTACAAGGAAGCTATTTTTGCAAAAATTATCTCTTGTTGCCTGCAGGTTCCTCCCAAACACCACACACTTTGTGGCATCGCGCCCTGGGGATAAAGCATCTATCTTGGAGACGTGTAGAGCCATTTATCTCAGCACCATGCAGAATTTGAACATGCCTCAAATTTCTTGGGAAAGGGTGGAGGTGAGGAAAACTGGTGTTGCTGATGATGTCAAGAAGCATGTTTTCTAATTCACCCCAAGTAATGGGTGCATGTTGTCTCTAACAGATCGAGTCTCCTTTACAGTACTAAGGAGATGGAGTCGAACTCAAGATTCCTAAAAAGTTATCACAAATATTGAAAACAGGAAGGTTGTTATGATGATAGGCAAACCGGCCTTGGTTAATGTTGTCTTTTACCAGTAAATAGGGTTGCCAATTTATTTGGGCAAAATGCAGGACAGGGCAGTTGTGGGTGAATTTTTTTTAAAAAAACTGGAGCTGAATTGATTTCAAAGCAATCCATTACAATCTGCTGCAGCCTAACAGGATGGCCCCTCTGGAATTTGTCAAATGTGTGCGTGCGCACACATAAATACGAATTTGTAAATTTGTCTGTGCTTGGCTACTCAGTGCTTAAATGACATTTCACACACACTTTCAAACACATACATTTGGAGAGGATCCCTAATTTGGGGGAGAGGGAGAGGGGAAGGGAGAGGGAGAGGGAGAGGGAGAGGGAGAGAGAGAGAGAGAGAGAGAGAGAGAGAGAGAGAGAAGACCTGAAATTCAGGACAAATACAGGACGTAACATTTTACATTGAAATATGGGACGATCCTGTATTATACAGGACAGATGGCACCCTACAAGTAAATGATGGCAACAATAGCTCGCATAACTCAGTTGATAGAGCACAAGACTCTTAATCTATGGGTTGTGGGTTCAAGCCTCTCATTTGGCAAAAGAGTCCTGCATTGCAGAGGGTTGGACTACATTGCCCTTATGACCTAATTCTACAATTCTTTGATTATAGCATTTGGTCATTCTCTGAGGGCACCCTTGGTTAGCCTTGAGTGTTCTAGTAAACATCAAAATATTGCCACATTTCTCATTGGCCTCCTAAGATCTTGGGTGTTCTCTGTATTTACTGTATCAGAATATAGGATTCAGTTCCTTTTTCAGTCACAGAGAAAGTGTCCTGAACAGGCTCAGAAAGTTGGTTGTGTACTCGAGTCCTATAGAAGAGCAAAAGACTGCTAGACCAGTTTACTTCAGTAGTATAAATATACTATTGGTTGTGGCTTTCATCTTCCTTCAGAGAGACTGAGAGGTGTGTAGATCTTCTAGTATTTATCCTTACAACAGCCTTGTGGGATACATTGGGGTGGGCAAAGTGAGAACTGTGATAGGATCGCCTTTTCTTCTTTTTCTTTTGTTTGTTGTCACTGTTGCTGCTGAGAAAAGGTACGTAAATGCAACTATGGATAGATTTGGATAGGTGATGTGATGATCTGGGGAGGCAGCTGCTAAATCATTTCTCACCAGGCTGTTTTCATGAGTGGAAATCACATTAGCTTCTGTGCCCCACATCTGACTGTTTCCTCTTGAAGAACCAGTTTTGGAGGAGGAGATTTTCATTGTGGAAATGGTGTTAAGGGAAAGTGCTAGCCCTACAGCCATTAACACAAATATATTCTTCTAAACTGCTGCATTTATCTTAAAAATATAGTATGAGAAATCTGAGCGCAGATCTCCCCACAAGAAAAAGGGGGGAGGAAGTGGAAAGAGAGAGAATGGTTCAAGATCACTAGGCGGTCCCTGTGCCCTACTTTAGAGAAGGCAGTCCTACTTCTGGATGACTAGAAAATGCTGTTTGCTGGAGTCCTCTATTTGAAGAGCTGCCTGGTTCAAGTGCAGTTTAAAGATAATGAAGAACCCCAAGAAGAGAGAGTTGGGGACCTTGAATCACCAGCTGACACTTAACACCTGGACAGCAGGCTGAGCGGGTCACTTAATCACAATCTTCCCCACCACCGTATTGTATTTCTATTTAAAATGTAGTAATATTTCTAATTTTTACCCTATATGTATAGATTAGTGTGCGTAAATGTGATGGAGATCTGTGTGCTCCTTTTGGGAGGCACAGATGATACGCAATTTAAGTGGCCAGCCTAAATCTCACTCCTTAAGCAGGGCAGGGGTTTGGAAGTGTGTCTCCCTGATTTAAGTCCAGCAACCTGGCCACTATGTATAGAATAATTCTGGGCTGCATCAATAGGAGTATAGCATCTAGATCAAGGGAAGTAATAGTGCCACTGTATTCTGCTCTGGTCAGACCTCACCTGGAGTACTGTGTCCAGTTCTGGGCACCACAGTTCAAGAAGGACACTGACAAACTGGAACGTGTCCAGAGGAGGGCAACCAAAATGGTCAAAGGTCTGGAAACGATGCCTTATGAGGAACGGCTAAGGGAGCTGGGCATGTTTAGCCTGGAGAAGAGGAGGTTAAGGGGTGATATGATAGCCATGTTCAAATATATAAAAGGATGTCATATAGAGGAGGGAGAAAGGTTGTTTTCTGCTGCTCCAGAGAAGCGGACACGGAGCAATGGATCCAAACTACAAGAAAGAAGATTCCACCTAAACATTAGGAAGAACTTCCTGACAGTAAGAGCTGTTCGACAGTGGAATTTGCTGCCAAGGAGTGTGGTGGAGTCTCCTTCTTTGGAGGTCTTTAAGCAGAGGCTTGACAACCATATGTCAGGAGTGCTCTGATGGTGTTTCCTGCTTGGCAGGGGGTTGGACTCGATGGCCCTTGTGGTCTATTCCAACTCTATGATTCTATGTGATACTGGCTCTCAATTGTAGTAAGTGATGCATTAATCATTATCCCCCGACCCAAACTTTCTCCAAATATTGAACCGTCATACAGATAAAAAGAAAGAGATGTTAATCATTCTAGTTTTTAAAAGTGTATCAACTCCTTAAAATATTAAATTTAGCTATAGTGATTCAGCACAGACATAGTGGTTCAATGCAGCCCTTTTTTTGTCAGTTGTGAATTGTACTGATATCTATTGGTGCTTTCATGTGATGTTTTTGAGTAATTTTTCCCCTCAATTTGCAAATGCTTCATGTGCAGCTGCAGCTACTCCTGACACTGACATTGCATTTTTAGTTGTATGCTGGAGGGAGACAATTTTTTCTGTGATATTCTCTCTCTTTCTAGACAAATTCCAAAGGCATTATCCATCTCTGTACAGATCAGGAACCTTCAGCAACTAAATGTTTCTTTGCTAACACTCTGGACTCTAAAAGGTAGGATTCTTTCAGCAAAATTTTATATATGGTAATTCATTAGTATATAGAATAACATACAAAGTCAACATTCAAAAAAGCCCCTGAGGTCTTCTCTTTCTTAAAGCTTACTAAATTTTCCTGAAAGGAAGCAAGCAAGCCACTGGGCTTCTATCAGTCAGCAGTGAGCAGCTCTGCAAACTTTTAGGTCTCATCTGCACTGTACATTTAAATCAGTATCATACCAATTAAACAGTACAGTAGTGGCTCCACACACAGCACAGCCACACAATCCTGGGGATTGTAGTTTGTTAAGGGTGCTGGGAGTCACAATTCCCAGAGTTCCTTGGAAAAGAGATCAATTGTTAAACCTCTTTGAAAATTCTAGCTCTGGGAGGGCACTGGGGGTCTCTTAACAAACTGTGCTTCCCAGGTTTCTTGCAGGCATTAGTGTATAAAGCGGCATGATGCTGCTTTAAATGTACAGTGCAGATAGATCCCTGTACTCTTCATTTACCCCCCAGAAATCCTTTGCAGAGTTTTATTTAAGGGAGCACGAGTGGTTCACCCACACTGGGTACTGCAACAATCACATAGAACAGAAGCTGTGAGGCAAGGAGAACCCAAGTTTTGGCACTGCACAGGATTCCACTGAAATCTGAAAGTTCAAAGTCCGCCAGTGTCTTTTGTATGTGTTAAAACCTACTATCAAAGATTCAAAAGGGACCACTGAGTAGGTTATTAAGGATGCTCTTGGACATTTTGGATCAGGTTGACAGCATTAGAGACCAATCATAATGGGTGGGTAATCTTGTAAATATTATCTTCAATTTCCATAAATATGAGTCCTTGTGTTGCGATGTGAATTAAGACATATTGTATTGTTGACGGTACTTTTCTCCAAAAAGCAGCTTATTCTGTGCTCATCCTGTACCTCCTCTTTCCCTTCTCATTCTTAGGCGAGACTTCAGGCGATTTCGGGGTCATCGTGTATCTTGGTTTCCATGCAAGGTTGAGAAAGTGGTAAGAGGATTTTAGATTTAGAGTTTCTTTAGAGTTTCTTCACAAAGCTGAGGATGTCAAGGGGTTCCAAAGACACAGACAGACACAAAAGCAGTTCTTGGGAAACAGATGCCTGCCCTTAAAGTTGGGAAGAGACGTTGAACTTGCTCGATGTTTGCAGATTTCCACAATGTGGTACTTTGCACAGCACATTCATTTAGGATTTCTGTGTGGTGTGTGCCACAGACACCTGTTGCTTTCCATTTGTGATGCGAAGAGTGATGAGAACGAGGCAACTGCTGGCGTGTCTACTTTGGATGACCAGAACCTAATGTGCAACAGCAAGCATGTGGACAGAAGGCCCATCCTGTAAAGTCCCTGAGCTCCTTCAGGAGGAAGGGTGGGGCATAAATTGAATAAGGAAGCCATCAAACCAATAAATGGAATGGGATTCCTTCACTGTCTGAGTTGCCTGGAACATTGTCTTTCCCATGGGGGAGTCCACAGGATGGTTTTATTTCAAAGCCCAGCAGAGCCTATTTCCATCTAGCATTGCCCAGGCATGTGTGAGCAGAAGAATGTTGTATTTATGCTGCAGTCATAAAAACATCTATGCCAGAGAAAAAGGCATGCTAACAAAGTGGGGCTGATGAGCATACATGTATAATAGGGATGGGGAATCTCTTTCAGACAGAGGACCGCATTCCCTTCTGCACAATCAAGGTGAATTCTACCATTGTGCAGTAGCCTAGTTTCTTCACACTCACACAGCCTTCTCTATCCTCCATCCATCCAAGCAAGCAAACAAAACAAACAGCATCAGAGTTCAAAGATACGTTCCAGCCAGACCAAAACATTCCAGGAGGGAGGAAAGCACAGCTGGTGAGGGATGTGGTTGGGAGAGTGTGGGGCTTGTTGAGAATCCCAAAGGCAGGATAGAGCAGACTGGATGGCCACATTTCCCCCTGGGCCCAAGGTGCCCCCTCGGGCACAGCATTGTGCGGATAGTGACTTTCTGTAATGCTGGTGTGAGAACCTGATCTGTGTAACAAAATGGGATAGGTTTACATCCATTGGAAATAAGTGGTGTGGTTTAGGGTCACCTGGAAAGAAGTGGGATGTCATCCTCTCCCATCCTGCCTCACTTTGAGCCATAGTTGTTCCTAGTACTTTTTTTCTGGGGGGATGCATACCCCCAAACATTTTGTGAATCTAAGTTTGGCCTCATTGAGGGGCAGTATTTCAATATGAGTAGGAAAATGAGAGTACCCCTAAACATTTTTTTTAGAAAAAAGGACTGGTTGTTCCTCTCTTCCCTATGAAACCTCACCTCACTCTTCCCCACATTCATGCTAATGAGCATTTGAGACTTTGTTAAGCTCACTATTATACAAGAAACCATGCTAGGTCTCAGTGCCTTCTTCTGTTTTATCTCTTTGCAGAAAACGGGTGTCTATAAGGCAGAAATGACAAAGCCAGATATAGGATGGAGAGCCTTTTTTATTGAGGTAACATACACATCCATACACACATGCATAAGGATTCACCGAGCATCAGGACTGATGGAGATTCACCCTGATCAGTCTTCCTGGAAATAGCATGTTCTTTTAGGAGTGTCATGCATGGGACGCGGGTGGTGCTGTGGGTAAAAGCCTCAGCGCCTAGGGCTTGCCGATCGAAAGGTCGGCGGTTTGAATCCCCGCGGCGGGGTGCGCTCCCGTTGCTCGGTCCCAGTGCCTGCCAACCTAGCAGTTCGAAAGCACCCCTGGGTGCAAGCAGATAAATAGGGACCGCTTACTGGCGGGAAGGTAAACGGCGTTTCTGTGTGCTGCGCTGGCTCGCCAGATGCAGCTTGTCACGCTGGCCACGTGACCCGGAAGTGTCTCCGGACAGCGCTGGCCCCCGGCCTCTTAAGTGAGATGGGCGCGCAACCCTAGAGTCTGTCAAGACTGGCCCGTACGGGCAGGGGTACCTTTACCTTTAGGAGTGTCATATAATGATATGAGTACTGGAACATTTAACAGTAAAGCAGGCCAGACATGGTTGGTCTACCTTTCTCAGGTCACACAATGGCTCATAAGCATCCCCCCCATTCCAGTACTATGTCCTCATTGCCACCCAGAAATAAAAACCAGTATTTGTGGGATTTTCATGAAGTGTGCTTGGGACAGGTTATGGCTCAGATCAGGGGTTGGCAAAAAACTTTAGCTGTGGGCCGGTCCATTGTCCCTCAGACCTTGTGGCGGGGTGGAGAAACAGCACCGGGGGGGGGCTGGAAAAAGAGGCGAGGGGGCAAGTAGTCCTCCTCCCCAGCCCCAGCCGCTGTGCTTACCTTCCCAGGGGCTGCCACCACCGCTGCCGCTGCCGCTGTTGCTGCTTCTCGTGGGTAGGCAAAGGGAGCTTGTCTGCTCCACTCTCTGGCTCACAGAAGCACCAGGGCGGCAGCAGCAGCGGCAAGAAGAGCGGCACGAAAGGGCTGGCTCTGAAGAGGGGCTGCTTAAAATGGCGCTCAGCCCAGCCCCCTTCCTCCTCTAGGCAGGGTGGGGAGAAGCCAGGAGGAGGGAGGGAGGAGGCGCCACCATGGTGTGTGTGAGGGAGAGGGCAGGGGAATGGAATGGTGCAGGGGGGAAATGGCGCAGCCCAAACGAACAGAATCCCCATGCCGATCCACGGACAATCCGCAGGCCGGATCCTGAAGGCAATTGGGCCAGATCCGGCCGCGGACCTTCGTTTGCCGACCCCTGGCTTAGATGAAGCGCTCCTAAAGTGGAGTGATTAACAGGAAGAGCTATGAGTTGGGTACAGTGGTACCTCGGGTTACATACGCTTCAGGTTACAGACTCCGCTAACCCAGAAATAGTACCTTCAGGATGAGAACAGAAATCGTGCTCCGGCGGCGTGGCGGCAGCAGGAGGCCCCATTAGCTAAAGTGGTGCTTCAGGTTAAGAACAGTTTCAGGTTAAGAACGGACCCCTGGAACAAATTAAGTACTTAACCCGAGGTACCACTGTATTGCTATTCCATATCCCAGCCCTGGTATTAACTCAGGATGGTGTAATTATGGAATGGTGCTTCTTCCTTCACTGCCCCTCTGCACACATTTCTTATAAGATGGCGAAAATTATACTGACCTACATCACATGGTTGGGCAAATATTAGTAACCACTTATATTACTTCACTTCTGGTGTGCCTCTCCAGGTGTGCTTGTTATTGAGGATTCATGAGATGTACTCGTAATGGTATTGGGTCAGTTATAGGCAATCTCACTTTCAATTCTGTTTGCACCTAGGAAAGTTTTGAGGTGGAACATATGGCTTCGTTTCCAGTTGGTTCATGTCCTGTAACATCCTACTGAAGCCTCTAAAGTTTTATGTCACAAATGTCCTGGTTTAGGTTTTGCCCTGTTTTTGTTGCACATAGTACATGATGGCAATAATTCCACTGGGGAAATATTGCAGAACAACTAATGAAGCAGAACGATGGTTGGCCAGTCTGGTGTAAATCCACCAATAACACACTTTTGTTGCATTCATGACATGTTGTAAAATACACTCACCAAAAACCAGTCTTTTTTGTTTGTTTCTACTTTTGATCTTACATGACCACCATAAAGATCCTTCCTGGAGGGGCCCTATGCCTTCCAGGAATGATGAAGCAACTTCTAACTGCTGTAGGTGAAAGCTGTGGTGTTGTGGTCTAAACCACTGAGCCTCTTGAGCTTGCTGATCAGAAGGCCGGCGGTTTCGAATCCCCACAATGGAGTGAGTTCCCGTTGCTCTGTCCCAGCCCCTGCCAACCTAGTATATTAACTGAAACCAAGTGATCCAAAGCTGCTTTTGCACAGTCATTAAGTATTTTGCCATAGGGCACTACTTTTAAAATATGCAGTAAGACGTAACAATTATATTTTAGAAATTTCTGTGCTATATGCTCCCAATGCAGCCTCTTTTCCACTCTTTGTAAGGTACTGAGCAGAACTGCAATGTTGTTTGTAGGTGACTTTCCTGGAATCTGAGAAAAAGAAGTACGTTTTTACCTCAGAGGTTCACATCATCCCAGACACTTTTCCATGTGCAGACTGCAAGGGTGAGGAATGCTATGGGGAGCTGGTGTGACATGCATCACGGACGTTCTGGTTCCTGCTGCTGAAATAATCCATGAGGGAAGACACGTGGCCCTGAGGAAACCATGCAGAGGAACAGATGGGCAGAGAAATAACCAAGCCTAGAGAATATACAGCTCTCACTATGACTAAAATGTGGGGAATGTGATGTCATGGGTTGGTAACAGAAAGGTGGGAAACAGGTAGCATGAAAATTATCGGGCATAGCTGGGAGGGCCCGGCTATATAGAATTATGAACATGTAACACAGCAAAAGAAAGTGTGCCTTTGTAATTCCTGGATCTCTGCATAATAAGAAATAAAAGTGCTATTATCTATAACTCTTCACTGAAATTCTGTGCCAGTTCATGATCATACCTACATACATCTATTGCAGCAGAACAGTGCATTGTGGGGGAGGGAAGATGGTTCCCTCAGGCAAGCAGCAATCCTTGCACTGATGGGATGAAAAAAACAAAAACCTTTGCATGGTGCTGAAGTCCACCTCAGTCTCCTTATTTCACATCAGGGGCTTATCATTCCTCTGTTCAGTAGATTCTTGTTTTAGAGAACTCTGCAGAAATATAGGGTTGTCTCCAACTAAGCTCTCCTCAAGGTAGGCATAGCAAAAACAGTGGACCTAAGTTAACCATGTCCATTAATTTCAATGGTTCAGCTTTGAGTATTACATTGGTGTGGAGAAATGTTATATGTGTGTCTATTTGTGTTTTGATGGAAAAAATATGTGTTCTCAAAGTTCAGGGCCTTATAATGTTACCACGTTGCAAGCCTCTTTAGCTGTAGCTCTGTGTGTGTGTGTGTGTGTGTGTGTGTGTGTGTGTGTGTGTGTATTAGCTGGGCTTGGATCAGGTAAATTCATTTTTATTGGTCTGGGTGACAGCAGTCTGCCAGAGATTTTCGGCAGTTGGGAGTTAACTGTCAGAGAGAGACAGCTGAGGAGATGAAGAGGAAATTAGTTGCCAAGGAAAGGTGTGAGGAAAAGACTAGAGAAAAACTGAGGCCTGAATCCTGAATATGAATTCCCAGTGTGTTATTAGTAGTTGCCTTGTGAGGCTCAGGAGAAGGGACCCAGTATCTGAGTTAGTCAGAGAGGCTGCCCTATATAAAGGTCAGTGCCAGCCTGAGGCAAGGTGAGACAGCTGCCTCAAGGGGCAGGATCCAGACAGAGGTGGCAGATTTAGCCTCCATGGAGCCCACCAGGGTAGCAGCAGCTGTGGAAGAGGTGGCAGTGGTAGGTGGCTGCCATGGCATACTCCTTGGAGACCAGATCTGCTGCCACCTCCTCCTTGTCTGCAGTGTGTTGGTGTAACAACAATACGTTGACCAGCCCAGAGCATCACCAATGGCAGGACACTTGCGCTGTGAAGAGGAGAGTTATGGGGAGAGGGGATGGGATGGTGTGCTGGTGTGCCTGTACATTGTGGACATGGAGGCGGTGGTGACAGGTGACTGCAATGACTGCCTGTTGTGGCTGCAGAGGGGAAGGCCATGGTGCCAGAAGATTGCACTTTCAGTTCTGCCGCAGGTGACAAAACGTCCCAGCCTGGACCTGGCCTCCATCCATGGGCATACCAGGATTTATGTTGGGCGGGGAGAGGGAGAACCGAGCTATCTATGATGCAATTGGTCCATTAGTTAAGAAATTTTATTTACTTACTTGATTATGCACCCCTTGGTTATGCCAAGGCCCCCATCCATCTCAATACTGCCTTCAGAGACTGGTTCAGATGAAATGCAGAGTGTGTCATCAGTATACTTATGACATTGTGCTTCAAATCTCCAGATGACAGCTCCCAATGGCTTCATACAGATATAAGTTAGCATGGGGGACAGAATAGCCCCCAGCAAGGTAAATGCCATTGGCCAAAACAGTAGTTAACATTTAGTCCTCCAGGGCTTTACAAACTGTGTGTCGCCACATTAGTGTGTCGGCTGCAGTGTGTAGGTGAGTCACATGAATGCTCCGCACTCTCCTCCCGGGGCTGGAAAGGGGTTTGTTTAACCCATGGGTAGGCAAACTAAGGCCCGGGGGCTGGATCTGGCCCAATCACCTTCTAAATCTGGTCCGCAGTCTGGGAATCAGCGTGTTTTTACATGAGTAGAATGTGTCCTTTTATTTAAAATGCATCTCCGGGTTATTTGTGGGGCACAGGAATTCGTTCTGCTTTTTTCAAAATATAGTCCAGCCTCCCACAAGGTCTGAGGGACAGTGGACCGGCCCCCGGCTGAAAAAGTTTGCTGACCCCTGGTTTAGCCTTTGGTTTGCTAGTAAAACTGAATTACTGTGTCATGAAATGATGCATATCTAAAACGTGTGTCACCAACATGAAAAGTTTGGAAAGCTCTGCTCTAGTAACTGCTGATAGTAGGAGAATGGCAAAGGCATTTTTCATTGTGGCAGCTATTTTGATTGCCCCAGAATGCATCTCAAAAACAAAAACCCAGACACATATACTGTTGAAGTCTCTGCCCATCAAAATCATTTATCCTCTCCTAAAAGAAAATGGGACGCGGGTGGCGCTGTGGGTAAAAGCCTCAGCGCCTAGGGCTTGCCGATCGAAAGGTCGGCGGTTTGAATCCCCGCGGCGGGGTGCGCTCCCGCTGCTTGGTCCCAGCGCCTGCCAACCTAGCAGTTCGAAAGCACCTTCGGGTGCAAGTAGATAAATAGGGACCGCTTATTAGCGGGAAGGTAAACGGTGTTCCGTGTGCGGCTCTGGCTCGCCAGAGCAGCGATGTCACGCTGGCCACGTGACCCGGAAGTGTCTCCGGACAGCACTGGCCCCTGGCCTCTTGAGTGAGATGGGCGCACAACCCTAGAGTCTGTCAAGACTGGCCCGTACGGGCAGGGGTACCTTTACCTTTACCTTAAAAGAAAATGGAGACTTCGATGTGCCCATTGTGTGGTGGGTGTAACATTTCTAAAATCTTCTTTGTCATTTTTGGACAGCATAGCATTCACTTAAACAGGGACAAGTGGAGTACAGAACCAATATATTGAACACAGGTGCCTCGTTTTATGGAAGATCTATCGCTGGCTGCATATCAAAAGAGATGCAGAGCAAAGAAGTCTCATCTAAACCATTTCATATTTATTCATTGGCATTGTGACAGTTTGTCCTGTACTGAACTCTTGTCTTTGGTGGTGGTGCAACACACTCTGAAGAAACAAAGAGTGGAAATGGTATGATTTGCTACCAAACAGAACAATCCTGTTCAAGAAGAGGAAATTAGGAAAAGTTTCGGGAGACAAAAAATTATTCTGCCTAATAAAACCGGCATCTTTTCAGTCATCATATCACATTAGTGCTATTGTAATGCAAAAAACAACAACACTGGGGTTTCAATTCATTTACAAGAACAACTAATCCCTTTACAGGAAACACTTCACAGAATTTACATGCATTTAATTCATTTAAAATAATATTTGATTGTTTGATGAGACAATGATATCAGGAGGAAGCGTTTGCATTTGTTATGCACTGGGAAACATTCTGGGGCATACAAGACATTCAGGGTCTGTTCAAAAGGGGCAGAGGAAGAGGTGACATTATAAAGTTTATAGAATTATGGAAATGTAAAAAGCTGAACTTAAAACAGGAAAACGAGAAACTGGGAAAACTGGATGTGGCATAGTCATCCATCACTACTTGCAAATGACCAGTTTGTTGAGCATTCATCCTGATTAATCCTGCAAGGTGGTTAGATGATGTCAGCTATATTTTGAGCATTATCTCTGATTTGTTTGTTTTACAAGCTTTACTAAAAATAGCTTTAAAAAACAAAGAAAAAAATATGCATGTCGACATCAAATATCAAGCATTTTTAATATAAAATCTAAAAGAAAGAAAGAAAGGAAAAAGGAAAGACTTAAAATCTCCGTCTATCAGCTTAAAAAACTTATGCAAAACTCTTACTCCATACTAACATGCAACTCTTCTACTTTCTATAAACCAACCTTTTTTCAGTCTTCAAACCCAGATATTAAAAGCTCATTTTCCTTTTTGTGCAGAAAGTCCAATAAGGGGTTTCTAATCAATAAATGTTGTCAATGATTTTTCTCTGATTAAACATGTCAGCTTTGCCATCTTAGCAAAATGCATTAATTTCAATAATCATCCTTCCATTGTAGGCAATAATAAGTCCTTCCATCTTTGTACATATAACAATCTGAAAGGCTGGTGGCAGCAGCTGAGGCTGCAGTTTCTCTGTGTGCCTTTTCCTGCCTCTTTGTGTTGTGTTTCCCACTGACGCCTGGCTGCCCCCCATCCTGCTGGCCATGATGATGTCCCTCAACAGCAAGCAGCCCTTTGGCATGGCATACTCCTGCTGCCCTGGCCTTCCCCCTCTGCCAAACTGAGACTCTATTACACTCTCTTTTCCTCTCCCTACTTCTTCTCTCTCTCACCCCCCACCCCCGCAATACTGTAATCACTTAATAGTTTATGGGGCACAATACTTGCCTTGTCCTGGGTGCTGGCCGCCCATATTACACCACTGCTTGTTACCATTATCTGCCTCAGTTCCTCAGACTCTCCTCCTGAAAATGTTAGTTCAGGCACACGGATGTGCCTTATAGGTTCCTTTGGGAAGACAGATACAAAAAAACCAACAAAAACCAACAACCTTCCCCTCTGCTGTCTCCTTATCTTCCTTTAGTACACCTTTGACTCCCTTATCTTGTAGGGGACCAACTGCATACCCTCCAACAGTTCTCTGATGAAAATAGGGATATCCTATTCCCAGGGACGCGGACTTATAAAAAATATTGGGGGGGCCCGGGAAAGCTCATGAATAATAAATAAGCTCATGAATATGCAAATAAAGTGGCTCCGGCCCTAAATAGGGCAAGCCACGCCCCCCCAGCCAGCCGATTGGCTGGCTGGGAGGTGTGGCCAGTCGGGATTCCCCTGTTCTCGCGGGGGGCTGAAACCGCCAGGAGGAAGGAAATTCCCCCCGGCAGTGCCTTGGCAGTGGCGGTGGTGCTGCGAAGCAGCGAGGCAGGAGCCCCCCGCCCCCGGTGCCCGAGATTATTGGGGGGGCTGAGCCCCCCAAAAATTTTTTTGAGGGGGCTCGAGCCCCCTCAAGCCCCATGGAGTCGGCGCCTATGCCTATTCCATAACAACAACAACAACAACATCCCCCTGCTGGAGGCTGCGTTCACACAGAGAAAACTTTTTCTCCCTCATAACACTGGAACTCGTGGAGATCCAATGCAGCTAAATGTTGGGATATTTGAGACAGATAAAAAGGAAGTACTCCTTCACACAATTTGATTGTCCACTTAGAAATCCCCACCCCTAAACTGTTGTTCCATGCTGCC